CCTGCCGACGCGGCGACACGGAGAAACCCGAAGTTATTGAGCGTGCATTTTCTGGCGGATTTCTCGTCGCATGCTAGACACCACAGCTGTCAGATAGCTCGTGCTCATCCCACGTGCTGTATTCTATGGCGGACTGGGATGGTATGTGGCAGTATCAGCAGGGTCACTATACTGGCCCTGCCCTAGCTCAGTAGTTGCAAGGGTGCCAGAACACAACTTAGTGCGCGTCCAACAGCGCGTCACAACAAGCCAAAACATATCGTATTAGGCAAGACATAAGCAACCGAGAGCCTGGTACATCAGTACAGCGCATGGCAATTGAAAGTCCGCCCCAGAGAAACGAGAGAAACAGCTCGAGGAGCTGTTTCTCGTTTTCTCGTTCGCGCTGAGATCCCAAGTCCGATCGCCGTTCGGCAGGGACCCCGAAAGGCTTCAGCGCACTGAGAAAATGAGCGAGAAACGCTTATTGAGTTCGACTAATGGGAGTTTTCCTTCATGTGCACCGTCTGATTCAGGGTACAAAGCATCGTCTCTGAATGACGATCAGTGCCAACAAGCTAATCGAGATTTCTTGCTATGCATACGAAGGACGGGTGCGCCCCATCTTGGAATCCGAGCTTCCGTGTCCTTGCAATTGAGGTTCAGAACTGCCAGAACTGTCGGCCGTGGTACTTAGGTCTGCAGCCGGCTGCGCAATGCTCTCACTTCCGTCGCAACAGTAAGTCCACCCCACATCCTTCCATACACGTTTTTGGAGTACGAGGCTGCTGGTAGACCGGGTGCAAGGCCGAATCAACCTAGATCAGCCCCAAACCTTGCTCGCCGGTAAGCCCACCGGGAGGCTTTTCAGTGTATTTGACCCATGGCCAGGCGCCGCAAGCTGAAGCTTGTTCTGGTACCTACCACGTAAGCGTCGGAGAACCTACCTGCAAGTCGTACGAGGATCATACCCAACCGTGGTTAGTGGAGCGCATTTTGTCCAGCTTGTCCGTCACTCATGGTTATTTGAATGAGATGTATAATCTTACGCGTTCTAGCTAAGGGATGCACAATGCAAAAAATGCTGTCAGAATATTTGGCTGGCCCAATGCGACGTACATTCATCGGTGCATCAGGATATTGATCGTTTCTCTTCCGAGATGATACATATCTAATGACGTTTCGGTGACATAGCCTGAGACCAAACAGACATACAAAATCAAGAGTCACTGGCAGTTGCCTCCATGCACATCGTACGTATTCTGATCAGAGGTCAATGCGTTTGCCCTCCGCAGCACTACGCGTCGCCGCATCCAAGAGGGTTTTCGTCCTTACGGCGTCATCCAGCGTGCTATAATCTCCATCCGGTCCCTTCGCGAACTCGGCCCAAGCCCTTGCCGAGTTACTCAATCCGTCTTTCACCTTCACTTTCACCTCCTCACCATTGAGGAAGTAGGATGCCGGTGTCCGGACATGCACGAAACTTCCCGAAGGTTCGTCGCTCTCAACCCTAATCGACCCCTTTTCCCCATCGATCGTCCACATGAACGGTGTCCCCGCCTTCCCACCCCTCGTCTCCAGCCCGCCTCTCCAATGCATCGACACGACAGCTCCCCTCTCCAGCGTCCCGATTATCATGACCTGGTTCGCAGCTGTTTGCGGGATCGTCTCCCCGGTAGGTTTTCCTGTAGAATCGACGATCTGAGTAGTGGGGAATTGGTTCTCCAGCACGGCCGATATGGAAGAGAAGGGCCCCAGCAGGTACAGCAAGCCGTCTAGGAAATGGCCGACGGCAATATCCAGCATAGTGGCACCTTCGCCAATTGACGCGGTATACTTTGCGCCTTCCGAGATGTAAGGGCCCCATGCGAAGAGCTCGCGGTGCGGGCGCGCGGTCTATGCTCATTCCCTCGGTTAGCCTGTTCAGTGCGCGGCAGGTGACTGGTTAGTACTCACGACAGTTGTCGATAGGACTCGCCCTATCTTCCCCGAGTCAATCACGCCCTTCAGCTGTCGGCACACGTACACTCGTTAGAGCACTCTCAGCATCATCGGTACGTCTAGTACTTACTTCTCGAATTAGCCCACTCTGCCTTGCCTGCGACCCAACCAATGTCCTAACTCCCCTGCACTTCGCGGCCTCCGCCAGCTCCTTCGTCTCCGCCAGCGTTCTCCCCGCAGGCCACTCGATGAAAAGATCCTTCCCTGCCTGGATAACTGGCAAGGCAGTCTCCTTGTGGTAAGGCGCTCTTACCGCTACAGCTACCATGTCTACAACCTCGTCGTTAGCGATTCCCGTGGTTGGGCCGTGGTAGGCCTTTATCGTTCGCCCAGTGAGTTTGCTGTAGTTCCCGGCGCTCGCTGAGGCCGATGTAGGGTTGCTGGTGGAGATTGCGGTGAGTACATAAGAGGCGGATAGAGGTGGCTGTAGCAACGGCGGAGCAAGTGTGTAAGAAGCCCAGCCCGACTGCGAGAGACCGACAAAGCCCACGCGAATTGGTGTCATGGTGTGTACCGGTACGGTAACGGAATGTGGTGTGTTTAAGAACGTTAACAGCTCTCATGCCGCCTAGGCTCAAGCCTCGGACATGTCGGAGATGTTCAGGTAGTATCCGGGGCCGCGTTTGATATGACGCACCAAAGCAATGCATACCCCGGGGTGTCCGAGATAATGAAGGCCCTGCGCGGAGTTCAGGGAGAGCAGGGACGCTGCTCGCGTCGAGCGGGAGTGACAGACTGTCACTGCGCCTCTTGCGCTCGTCGACATCGACGGTCTCGCAGCATTACAGCTTAGGGTCGTGCTACTTGCATATTTTCTTGCACCCACCCTTTCCACCCTTTAGAGGGCCTGATCACAAGCTATAGCCTCAGCTGATGAATCTGACAGGCATACATAATGGTTGATAAGCTGTCAGACATGTAGAATAGTTTTAGTACAGTACTATAGTGGGACATCGCGAAGGGGTTCGTCGTCGTCCTCCCCTTCGCCTGCGTCCAGGAGCGGCATGGCTGATCCCAGCCGTTTCCGTTCCCAGACTCCCAAGGGCTCTGTCCCACTGGAGTCTGGAACGAAGCGTTGACGCAAGATACGATTTTTATTCTAAGATTGCTTTCGCCGCTCTACCTTTCCGTGGCTTTAGTATCTCGGAATGGAATTTCCTTCTCGGCATCTCTACCCGGAAGTGTTCGAATTGCCACCGTGTTGCTTGTCTGGTTGAAAGTAGCTCACACCAGTTGATTTCTTCTTCGCCTCCCACGTCGACACCGGGCGAGAACGTGAGGTAATGGCCCAACCGCATCGAATTAATCCAGATTAATCATCAGAAGGACATGAATGTAAGCACAACAATTTGACCATAAGATACTGCACAGGCCCGTTCGTGCAGTAATATGCAATACACGAATTCGGGAAGAGGATGATTAGACCTGATGGATCAAGGATGAGTGCAAGGGTTGTAAACCGACGCGACGCCGATGTGTTACCTTATATTCGGTAATATTACTATTTGAACTTGAGGTGGGATTGCAGTTCACGGTCCTCGATTTTGCGCCGTTGCCGACGTGCAGCTCCAAATTGGTCGCCAATACTTCCTCGGTTTGCTCGTCGGGCAACTGTAGGTCGAGTTCCCGGCGCGGCACGAATTCCATCGATCTGTTGAAGGACGATCCGAGCCAATCTGTGTTGGTAGCGTTGTCTGATGTGAGTCCCAGGCCCACGAGGACGAGGATCGCCGTAGGGAATATGCCCTTTGACCTGCTCAGCATGCGAGACAGTTTCGGATAGGAGCATCACTTACAACTACTTGTCCGCTGATTGAGGCAAGAACATTTTGCTATCAGAGTTTACTTTGCGGTCAGAAGAGGAGATAAGGCAAGGGAGTCAAAAACATGACTTACAGCGTTTTGACCGAAAGGCCCGTCGACGAGTGCTGTGGAGACAACGGATAGAAGCAATAGCACGGAGTAGACGGCGCCGGATTCAACCCTGATCCAACCCAGAATCAAAGGATGTCAGAGATGATCGACAAATGTCTTCGCCGTGGGGACTTACACTATCAAAATAGCACGAATATACCCCTTCTTATGACTCCTTCCGAACAGCTTGTCGATATCTCGGGTTATCCACCAGATCCTCCCACCTGGAGGCGGTAGACATGAAGAAGATGCAATGTCAAAAGCCAATGTCCCACACCTATCAGCAGCGTCATCATCATATTAATGGTGAACGAGGTAGCCCAGTATGCAGTGTTGGCCCGGGTCGCGATTCTGTTCAGCTTGCGGATCAATTGCTTAGGTCGATGGCCCTCCGGTCCGACGTCATATCCTATTTGAGTCCCTACAGCGTACGGGACAAAGGTGACAATCCCAGATGCTGGTAGAAAGGCTATCAGTACAGATAAACATTGTAGAAAGAGTGAGCTAACCTGCTTCGCCGAGAAGGAGAAGAAGAGGTAGGACGATGATTGAACGGCGAGCACCCCAAATCGTATAACATCTCCAGATCTGAGACCGTCTCGCATAACTCAAGTTGTCCCGAACTCCAAGTCGAACACAAGTCGGGACTTACGAGTAGGCCATCTGCAAGAACACTAGTTTCTCCGTAAGAGCTATTCCTACGACTCGGAAACCGAGAGGAAAATCTTACTTCGAAGCTGTATTGGATGCATAGACCACAGCGATCATGACGTTCGCAACGTAGGCATTCATCCATAGCTGGTATTCAGGATCCTCATCTGGGTCTTCCGAAAGAAGAAGTGGCTCAAGGAAATTACAGGCCCATTGAGCGGTGCAAGATACGAATAGTAGAATGTTGACGACCAGGAGGCCTTTGCCGTTGGTCATTTCCTTTCGGAGGAAAGTGTACAGGCTGGCGAGGAATAGTACGCCATACACCCCTATGGTTCTCATTTATCGCTGGACTTCAATGGGCTCAGAGGGATGATTAGAGCTTACCATAGAGCAAGGTCGCAAGCTTATTACAAGATCAGTATTGGTTCGGAGCCAAATTGATGAAGGCAGGCGTACCAGAGCTTCGAGGACGAGCCACTGGAGATATTATTAGGCACCGTGCTCGTTCACATCTGTCCGAACATACCTGAAAACCAGACAGAGCAGTCATACTGAACAAAATGCCGTCGTGGACGACCTTGCCAGCCGGAGAGACCGACTGCCCCTTGGGGGGCTCGCTGGAATAATATATATGTGCTACGATTAGTACCGGATCAAACTTCGTTCTATAGCGCAATTCTCGCTGGGAGCGCTCAGAGGGAAAGAAGCCAGGGCAAACGGACCATTCCGCTCGGATTAACCTACATAGCGATTCGCACTATACGTGAAATACACAGCCTCCTCCCCGCGCTGGCTTCGGAAGCAAGCTAATTCCGGGGTCAGGGAGTTATAGATAAGGAGTATATCGCACGGAATGTGCAAACCAACTCTCTCGCCCGCACACATATCATAGGAAAGACAGAGTCCGGCGCTGTGCACTGTGTGCAGCGCCACTACTCACCAGTACACCGGTGTTTCACGTCGATCATTGCTGCTTCTTCATCTACACGTGCTCAAAATGAGACTATCGATCTTGGCGGACTAAAAGCTCAGAGTCAAATCTGGGACGCCTCTGCATCCGCATTTTACTGTCAGTAAATTGCTCGTCTTCGCGACGACACAGGCACGTTGGGGGCGGGGGGGGGGAAGATTAGGGGGACTAGCAGAGGATCCGCAAATGGTTATCCCTCAGTGCGCTCATACCGTCCTCCCAGGCAACACTCCTCGTCGACTGCGACGCAAAACTCTTGGTCGCATGCTGTCCGATAGCCACCCATAGCCTCAGCTATCACCTCCGATCGACTCACCTTTCACTTGGAACGTACCTCGTCCCTGAATTTTGACGCCGTTCAGAAGCACAGCCCGCATGAGCCTCAGGTTCAACTCAGGTTCCGTGGAGTTTGCTTGACTATCATACGAGCGCTTCGAAAGTGACCAAATTAGCCTGTGACGTTGGGAGAGGACTGCGACTCTTGTGCAAGGATGTATTATATCAATAGCCCGGACTATTCAGGTTTATGTGGAAGAAGCTTACATAGAAACCAATCGTCCCCAGTACCAGAAGAACCGGTGGTTGAGTAGGCCCAGCAGCAGTGCGGCTTCGCGGCTTAGATCACTAGGCGGTCGCAGACACCAACACCGGCTTTACGATAGCCTACTATCCAGTGTAAATAGATGGACATGGCCATCAAAAGCCTTGGACGAGCCAACGCCCTCCCCCCGCAGCTGTGAAACATAGACGCATGTTTATGCACCTGGAGTCCTAGACATAGTACAGCCTAGCTCCAAGCACCATACGCGGCTACGACTTTCATGACTCCACTGACATCAACGAAGTGCGCGTACTGCTGTCCGAAGCTCTAGACTCGTTCAAGGTGGTCAAGCCTATATAAAATGATAGGCTCGTAGCCTTCCTATAGTAGATACTAGCATTGCAATCGAGGGCAAGAATGTCAGTCAACAAGAAAGGTCCTCGAGTCGCGATTGAGGAGTAGCGGATCATGAAATGGTCTTTACATCGTCCCAGCTTCCAAGAAAACGACCGGCTGAGAAGTTGGAAGGGCATAAGAAACGGGTTGGGAGTCATGGCAGTGAAAGGCGTTGTGGGTAGTTGTGGCACTTCGTTCGGAAGGGCCCGTGACACGTGGTTCCGGACCGAATGCCCCTATTTGGGCTGCATGGGCGCGATAACATGCTTCACTTGACTCGCATCCCATCAACTGCTCCCGACGCCCTTTGTAGTCTATCATTACCCCCACCTACGTCGCCATACACGGTGTTGGCGACGCAGAAGCACCGATACGCTCACCGTCTGGACTCATGGACATCGCTGAGCATTTCGTTGGGGAGAGTCAGGCGCAGGGCAGAAGGGTGACTCGATCCTTGCCGCAGCGGGCTGTAACAGGTGAGGTCTTACAAAGGGGCATCCCAGGGAGTATACATCCCTGACCTGATTTTGTTTGTAGGAGTGAAGCTATATATTGAGAAGAACGGAGATCAGCCATCGCGAGTGATGACATTCTCCAAGTCCCAGACGATTACTGTGAAGGTGGGGCGCAAGTCGGCAGCGACCTTCGAGGAGGATTGCTGGCCTGCGGACGAAGCCATGTTCCGCTGCCCAGTCGTAAGTCGTAAGCATGCGAAGATCGTGTTCTCAGACGCTGGCAATGCGAGTATACATCGTCTCTATCGCCTCGCATCTCATTGACGCCGGGCGGCAGGCATATGTTATGGATCTAGGCTCTCACCACGGAACTCACATTCTGAAGCCAGGCGAGGTTGTCTCCAGGCGCTTGAAGGCTCAGACCCCCGCCACCCTCAGCGATGGCGACGTCGTCACCTTCGGTAAGACCGTCAAGACGGATAACGAGCTTGTGCGTCCCGTTACTGCGCGCATACAGCTACTACACGATACCATCTCGGACCGTCCCATTACCTTCAGACGAGTTCCCAGCAAGGCCGCGCCCTCGTCGAGCACGACGTCGCCCGTGAAGCCCTCTTCCGGCGGACGCTTCGGCTTGTTCTATTCTTCGTCTTCTTCTGATGAGGAACCTTCCCGCTCGGACAAAGAGCGCGACTCTGACGTAGAAGAGGTGCCCCGTCCTGGCCCCAGCAGTGCCGCCCAGCCTCTGGAGGAGTTGGTCACCCTGAATAGGCTCGAGGGTAACCGTGACGCACGGCCAGACCTGAGCGCTAGACTTCCGTCTCTCAGGGCACTGAACATCAATTTCAATCCAATTTGGAGACGTATCATGGCTCCGCATATGCCTTTAGCTGCATTGTCCTTACCCGCGGGCCACACATCCCTCGACGATGTCTCCTCCGATATAGGCGAGGCTGAGATAGACTCCGATTACAACCGATTATCGTCGTCGCCGGAGAGAGTTTGTGTGGACCCCTCCGAAGCTGGCGATGTGCGCTCTGTTTCGCGGAGGTCTTCTCCTGTTGAGAAGGATGATGTTCCCTGGCGTGATACTTCCTACTTTGCTCAAGGCAATGAAATCCAAGAGCGTGGCAGCAATGAAGGCGATAACCTCACATCGTCGCGGAGCGACCACGACATCTTGCCGTCTGTCCGCGACAGCTTTGAGAACATGAGCCAGGATATCTACGAATCCGAGGACGCATACATCCCGTCACTCGGCCAGTCTGGAAACCGATACACGGAAATCGATGACGAACATCCGGAGTATGCGTCTGCGAGCCAGATCGCAGAGGAAAACACCTCTAATAATCCTTCGCGTTCTGTGTCCTCGTCTAGCTACCGGGAGGGTGAGGAGGTCGATGGTCAAGGTGCTCCCGACCATAGTGAGTTCGACAGGTTCATCTATTGCGACATGGAGATTTCGTCGCCGTCAGTCGTCTCGCTCTCCAGTCGTGCCTCCCCCGTACATTCCGAGTCAGAGCCAGCTAGAAATACTGACTCCCCGGCTGTTCCTGTGACCGGGAGTGATCTTCAGGTAAGTCGCAAGTACCTTTCATCGGGTCATTTCGACCGATTTCTTTTATCCGCAGGCCAACCTCACAGCTTTCGATGAAGGCTTGAGAGATTTGAAGATCCGCTTGGAGACCCACATCGCAGCGACTAAGGAGACATTGGAAACCCACGACCACCGAGTGGCAGGCGTGAAGGACCTGTGCTCTTCGCTTTCCGAGCGGCTGACTTCCGAAATGCCTGCAGATATCTCTACCAGAGTCAAGGATGTGGAAGACAGAGTGTCCGAGTTCCAAGCTGAAATCCAGAAGAACGCAGAATACTGGAGCTCGACTGCGGGTTATCGAGAGGAATTCCTGGAGAACCTTGAGACAGTCAAGAAATTGGCTGGCGGTCAGTCTCATCTTTAATTGTCATACTGAGCTGTCCTTCGTTAATTCAATGTGGCCTGCTTTTTCATAGATATGCGAGCACTTCAAGAGGTGATGTCCGCAGAGCTGGCCTCAGAATTGCAGGCATTGAGGGATGCGCGGACTGGAGCTTCTCAAGCTGCTCGTCAGTTGCAAGTAGAGGCGCAACGCCTGGTGAGTTCATATCTCACCATCTCAACGCTGATTTGCTCATGAATCTAACGGGAGCAGCATGCTACGAGGCCATTGAAACGCAAACGATGCAGGTCATTGATCGACGAAGCTGATGTCGGAGGAGGTATGGAGGTCGATGAGCCCAGGCCGGCGAAACGCAATCGTATCTTGTCCAGCGTCGTCGGCACCGCAACCGCTGTCACCATCGGGGCTGTGGCTACTTGGTCGGCCCTTGCGTTCACGTAGGCGCAGTCGACCTTCAGGAAGTGTACTGTTTTGTAAGTTTTGGTAAGGGGAGTGAGTGTACGAGGTGTGGCCGTATAGGATGACTGTATTTGGGACACTTTGAAAGTTGTATTTATGCCATTGCTCTTGCAATTCATTTCCTGTTGTCTTCGACTCTTGTATTCGTAATTGATCACTATACACAAACAGCACGATATGATACAATGGAGGGCGATCACCGGTTGATCCCATAGATAACGATATAGAAATACGGAAATATAGGAAAGCTACCGCACGCGAACAACAAACACGCTCGACATCACGGAATGTGGCCATATTTCTCTCGCACTTCACGAGTTCGAGCGCGCAACATAGCAAGAGTCACCACCGCACCATCGCCAGCACTGGAAGAGGTCTTGGAGCTGGGTGAAGGTGAATCATGCCGGCCATTGACACGGGTGCCATTCACAGTGATAGGGTCCCTCGAAGCAGTCAGACTGCTCATCTTCATCCGTTTGCCTGATGTGGAGCCGCTGATGGTATCCAAGTGGTCTTCCGTCATACGCCGCTTGGACGGTGAGGGGTTGAGGGGACGCCGGACCAGGAGTTCGTCGAATTCACCACCCGCGGAGCCCGTCACAGTTTCAAAATTCTTGAGAGCGGATTGCAGCTGGACGTTCGGTATGGGTAAAGGCCAAGTGAGGTCCAAGGGTAAATGAGCCCGCAGCAGAGCGGGTATAACGGCTCCAAGGTCCTCCAGTAGAACTTGCACTGGAAAGGCTGTTGGCACAGCATCGTAAGACTAAACCGGCAAACAGGGTGGAATTGCAACATACCTAACCGACTGTAACGATATGCTTCCAAATCGGCTATGGCACTGTCAGTGGTGCCTTTCCAAATGTCATTCTTCAGCCAAGTCGTGGTTTGCTCATACAAAGCGCTGAGAAGAATCGCGTCAGGGCTGATAGTTGTGAGCAGGAATGTGAGACATACTCGGATTCCTTGGCATGCCCAAAGGCAGGGATTTCAAGGGATAAAGACGGCCGGTTCGTGAGACCGGCGAGATGTTTGAAGATGGACGTCATAAGATCGATAAGCTTGTGCACGGCTTGCCCGAACAGCTCGTAGTCGACTGGTCAAGATTGATCTGAGAAAAGGCTTCCGATGGACGAGAAATTCGCTTACATTCGCCATTAATGAAACAACGTTCCGCCCAGTCTTGGCTTAAGTTCTTCCAGCGCTGCAGGAATGGTGCCAACAGGTCTAGGAAGAGGAGGTATTCAATACTCCGTCAGTTTTATAGAATGGAGTTGCCTACCGTCGGGCTTGCACCACGTGCTATGTCTCGCTGTCACGTCCAGAGACATCCCGTCCAAGATTTCAGAAAATTTGCCATCCAGATCTTTGGTTTCGGACCCGATGATCATTGGTCGGTAGTCGGCGAACAACTGGTCGCGCATAAGGTCTTCGATCTTGTGCAAGCTTGGTTAGTCACGACGAAGGAACTGAGCCACGCAGCCCTACCATCTCGAACAAGTCCTTATATAAGCCCTTCTGCTCTTCTTCGGCCCAAATGATGAACACAACCGAAGTAGAATAACGTCGTGCCTTAGGGAAGCTCTTCACCACCTGACGGAGGCGGCCATAATCATCCACAGCGCGATACTTCCTGATGAGAGAAGTTCAAGCGGTGGCACCGGATTATTTCCGATGTAACGTACCTCTCGACATCGTCACCTATATCAGCTATCGGACTGCATTCAAAGACGAGGAGAGAAGGGGCTGAAGGCGGTTGTGTTGTGTCTTCTTGACTTGAGATTGGAATCTGAAACGAATTCTCGGAGAGCCATTCGCCAGATTCGGGGACGCTAAACTTGCGCTGTACCCAAATGGCAGTGCCATCGACGTCTGGATTCATTGACAGCCATAGATTCCAGAAAGGAGGATCGCCTTGGGCCTTCCTATGCACAACTGCGCGTACGCTTGCCAAGAAAGAGCCCTGAGTCCAGCGACTCTCATGCTCCTCGCGGTTCTGCAGCAGAGCATCATTAGATCAACAGGCATTTCGTGCACAATAGCATTCACCTCTCGTAAACGCCTCGCCACATCTTCGTCTGTCCACATAATCTCACTCGGCATGCTAGGTCTATTCCGCTTTCGCCACGCGCGGGAGGAGACACTTGATGTTGAGACAGTGCTCTCTTCAGAGGGCGCCCTTGACGGAGGGAGGGCTTGGAGTTCCCGCTTTGCCTTTTTACCACTCGGCTTGTACCCAAGGAAAGGGTTCGTCGTTACGCGGTACCAACGTTTAAATGCCGAACGCAGTACGACCATATCCCTGTGAGCCATTGCCTTTCCTTGATCCGTCCCGTTCTCTCGCGCATCGTCTTGTTCATCGTATGTCTCCCTTTCTTTGCCCTTGGCGGACTTACTGCTAGGCTTTTCTGCAGTTTCACCAGGCGGACCGGGGAACTTACTCGGCCCTTTGAATATACTAGGTCCAGGTTCAGTCGAGAGCTCCGGCATGGAGAGGAGGGACCCGGGTTTCGTGGGCGACTTCATAGGAGAACCGAAGATAGGGCTGAGTGACCCATTCGCAGACGGCACTTCCGTGCTAATACTGGGGAACCCTTTGAGGGACCGGACCTGTCTCGGAATTGACTCCATACTGGCCGTGGGTGTTGAGGGTAATGATACGGGCTGTACCTTCACTGGAGTTGGGGGTTCACTCAGTGGGGTACGAGGACCTGCGATGTCTGTCAAAGGTAAGATGAGGAAATGGATCGCTTCGGAGGACACGGCGCGCATTACCATACGAGAATATTGAGGGCCGTCGGGCACCTTCAGGTTGAGACCCGGGAGATGCTGATGTGCCATTGACATTCGTTGACACGGATAACGAAGGCCTGGGGCTGGATGATTTAGCTTCCCGAGACTTCGCAGGGGTCGACGGTGTAGTTGATTGGACCTGGGCTGACGATGTTTCCTATTGTCCGTGCCCTTTGAGTAAGGCGCTAGAGCGTGCATACGATGTAAATACTCACAACGTTCGGTTCTTTTGACAACTTAAAGGGCGTAAAAGCAGGGGCAGCAGGATTGAGAGATGTCGTCCCGAACAACGTAGAGGACTTAGGCGGCTGGGGCTTGGGTGCTTCAAATGAAAGTTGGGAGATCGGTTGCGAGGACTGATCGCTAGAGAAAAGCGACGGAGAAGGCGCTGAGGTGGGGGCCGAGGGCGTCGTTGATGCAGCAGGCCAGGAAGGCGTGGTTGCAGAAGAACCAAATCCATTGATGGTCGGTGTAGGGGTATGCGCCGAGACAGCGCTAGTGTCCGAGGGGGGAGATAAAGCAGAGGTGTTACCTGGCGACTGCGTGCCGAACATGTTAGCTTGGTGCGCAGATGACGATGCACCAAAACGATTCGGGGAGGGTCCCAGCGACTGTGAAGTCGCTGTGAATACCGAAGCTGGCGCGGGGACGGTCGCAGTTGTACCGGTAGGTTTTGATGGCCCAAATAGGGAGCCAGAGGAAGTGGACTGCGATCCGAAGACGGACGAAGATGACCCAAAGGCGGAAGAACTACCAAACACAGATGGTGTATTAACAAACGCATTTGGCGTGGGCTTGAGGTTTGCGAAGGCAGATGGTACGGGCGGAGGTGCAGGTGTAGGTGATGCGGAGGCTGTTGTGAAAGGGCTTGGCTGCGACGGTTGTCCGAAGGCGGAGGAGGGGGATGAGCCGAAGATCGAAACACTGGACGGGGCCTGATTCTGGGAAGGATCACTCTGTAATGAGGAATCAACATTTTCGGCGGCGGGTGTCTCTTGCACATCCTCAATAGCGCTTGTTGCCTCTGTAGAAACAGAACCCTGCCTATCAGATATTCCATCAATAATATCAGGAATGGATAGATCTCCTCGGATAGCCTCGATATCCTCGATGGTATCCTTCCCGAACAACCGTTCCAAGATGCACGCGACCAAATAGATCATTACGACACTGCCAGAGTCCCGGAGCACTGCAGCGAGCTGTCCGAAGATTTCCATTGCCTCTGCGTCAACAACAAGGGCCGAGGTTTTCGTGATTGGGGAGCTCTTCGCTTGCACGATCAAACGGAATTGCGTGGTAAGTTTGAACACGGGATGATTACGGATCTCCGCGGGAATGTCGTCGTGCCGCTCCCGCTGGTCCCGTATGTGGATCAGACGGTGATACACGCGCATCTCCAGCTCAGTGGGGGACTGGTAACGCTGACGCTGGTCTTCGTAAAACTCTTTCAAGCTTTGCAATGCTGAGGAAGCAAGCTCAGACTCCATGAAGCTCCAGTGCTGCATCAAACTTACTATTCATAAGCTGCTGCTCTTCCAGCGCAATTGAGAAGTCTGGCTTCTCTCGCATGAAGTGCAGAGCGAGAATATGGTACCGCGCACACCGGTCATGGCACTCGATGGCAAGCGGGCCCGTCTCGTGCTGCATGGTAAAGTCGGTACGGACTGCGCGAGATCGATCGCGAATGAAGGTGTGGGTATTCTCGAATCCACCCTCAGGAAGGAGCTTATGGAAGAGGTAGTCCAGTGTTTTCTATGGGCGTACTCAGCTTCCTTAGCACGATCCAAAACTGAGGACAGACCTTGAGGACACGAGGCGGTCGTAGATCGGACGGAATAGTCTTGTCACCTGCCGCGCGCTCGTACGCTTTCACGGCGCGTTTGTGATCAACTCGACGAGTGCCAGGGATCTTCTCCGTATCAGTGCAATTTCTGTAGAAGCAATAATGAACACAGTATGTCCGGAGCTACACGTACAGTTTCCCATTTGTCCAGATTATTCTCCCGCTCTCGCCGGTACCGCTCGAACCTGGGACACATGTCCATACAGGTGCCAACCATCGTAATAGCTTCGTCAAGACGCTTGGGCACCAGAGGATCGTCCATCTTCCCCTCTGCGATGGCTCGTTTCCTCTCGGCCTCGCGGGCTTTCACCAACTGTGCAGTGACGACGAGAAGGCGCGATTAGTTCTCTAGTGTCAAACAGAACGAGGACGCACCTCTTGATAGAACTTCTCCCGCTCTTCCGCTGTCTCAAGCACTGGCTCCTCTGGCGCTTGAAGCTCATCATCCTCCTCTTCCTCCGCATCCGTGGTTCCTTCGCCTCCACTCTCCTCCTCGCTCTTTACTGATCCGGTGCGGAACACGACGGACCGATTCTGAGACTTGCGACCATCGTTCCTGCCTCTACCGCCCCGATGACCCCCTCTGGTCCATCGCTCCTGAGTTGGATCGTGTACATTCTCGTTACTGCTGACATGCTCGGCAACCCAGTGTTTGTTTCGAGAATGTGGCTTTCGTGACGTTCCGTTAGCCTTGATATATCGAGTACCTCTCTGATGGGCAGTCTCCATCATCGCGGTCGAGTAAGAACGCGTGCAGGAGAGACTTTGAAGGTGGCCACCGCCGCCACTGTTTGAGTCTTTGAGACAGTCGAGAACAAGGTTGTAGTGACGTGTGACACAGGTCACTAACACGACAACTACTGCGTTGTGACTACGGAGCTCGCGCCGTGGAGTAGGTTAGGGTTATTATCAGTGCCGACTTTGAATCAAGGTTGATAGAGTACTAGACTACTACTAGTACTAGTCAACCGGAGCGTAATGCAGACCTTCTTACAAACCAACCCATAGTTCATTCACTATAAAGCCGATGTCCATGCGTAGATGGTTGAGTATCCACATTTTGCATCCCCGATCATGAGTGAGAACATGCAGGACGCCCTCGAGCTTCAGCCTGTACAGTCGACAATTGCTAGAGGGAGTGCAGATAAGATCCGCAGATTATGACCATGAGGTAAACAGGTCTGTCGTTCCGGAATCACTGAAGTGGCAGTAGAAGGTACGTCTGTCACAGAAAGATTCAAAGACCACGGAATACCAGAAAACCGTGATGATAACCTCGTCTCTGCAGGCGCAGGAGAGGCTACTTACATAGTCAAGACAATCAAGTCAGCCCATCCCAATTGCTCCACTCGCAAATCAGCGCTGGAAGCACACCTTCAGAACTCCCATAAACAAATGGCGCCTCCTGTCTGCCTACCTTCGTCAACGGGATCCAAGACTCTGCCCTGGGCGCGCTGGTTCCCTTCATCGAGTCCTCGTACGGCATCCCCTACGCCTTCGTCGCCCTCCCCTTCCTAACGACCGCCTTGGCTTTGTCCTCGCCGCCTTCTCTGACGCAATATTCGCGTCGATCGGGCGTGCGAGGGTTCTCAAGTTCGCCACCGTCTCGCAAGCAATTGCGTATATTATCTGGGCGGTGATGCCCGGGCGCACGCTACACGCCACCTTGGACATTGCACCGCTTTCCACGGGCGTTGGGGTTTCGTGGAACCTCGCTCAGATCAACGTATTTGTGAGCTCGCTCGACAACCCGACGCTGTACAACTGGTGAATCAATTTACATTACTCCTGTACTAAACATTACGCTGATGCCTGATTTGTCCTCGAATACAGGTGGCTCCACGGGTGCTTATGGTATTGGCGGTGTCGCGGACCCGCTCGTTGCTACTTCGCTTGCTTCAGACGACGCGTCCTGGTGATACTTCTACTTCCTCCCCCTCGGCATAAACGCCCTCAACTTCTTCTTCGCCGGTTACCATCTTCCTCCCCATCTCCTCCGAAAAGCAGGCCCATCTCGATCAAGAACGCAGCACCAGGCCCAAGCACAGCACAGACCCATGAACCACCAACCACCGAAACAGCACCAGCACCAGCACTCGAACCCAACCCGTACCCAGATCCTAGCAGAAACCCTACGCAACAAATCCACACTCCTCACCTCGCTCTTTATTCTCTCCTACCAGGGCGCGGAAGTCGCCCTGGGCGGTTGGATCGTATCCTTGCTCATGAGCGCGCGCGGCGGCGACGCCGCGACCGTCGGGTACGTGGCGTCAGGCTTCTGTGGTGGCATCGCCCTGGGCCGCTTCATCCTCAGCGGGCTCTGCGGCGCGTGGGCCGAGCGCCGCGCCGTCGTCGCGCTCCTCGCGGGCACGGTGGGCATGGAGATCCTCGTCTGCCTCGTACCGAATGTTATCGGGCGCGGGATGAGCGTCGCGCTTGCGGGGTTTTTTACTGGGCGTAAACGATCTCCCATTTACTTGTCTTGGCATTGAAGTTGACGGAGCGCGCCACACCCGTGCACAATGGACGTCGTCACCCGCCTGCTCTCGCGCAAACTGCACGTCTCCTCGCTCTCCTTCATCGCCGCGTTCGGGCAGGGCGCTCTGGCCGTTCACCGCGGGCTTCATTGCGCAGTTCAAAGGTCCGTTGTCTCCCCATTTATCCCAACACCAAGTGCAGTCACGAGAGCTAACGATTGATAATTCACTCAGGACCGTTTGTCGTGCACCCCGCGGCGATCGGGAGCTGCGTCCTGATGGAGGTGCTCTGGCTCCTCCTGCCAAAGGTCCCCAAGAGGGCCATCTAAGCACGGTCCAGCGCGGCGATGAATATGCAATTTTGTGTAGATTCGGTCAAGGGCGGTTGGTAAATACCATTCCGAGGGACGGCAGCCAATCCCGTGCCGCCGGAAGCCCTCGAATTCTCCAGAGTCGCACGGGGGCGGCGTTCCGCTATCACCTGCGCTACGTGTGTAAATGGTCATGGTGGATGCACACATTGTAAAAATAACAACACGCGCTCGCACCCGGAGTCCTGATGCCAAAGATAACACTCCGGTCTGCGATGGACGTCATAGGATCTGTAAGCTACGGGACGCGGGGTGGGATATAAGGCTGGGATGTCACAGGCGGTCCTACCATTCTCAGACTATCTGTCTATCCCATACTGTCAACCCCGAACTCTGAGCTCGTCAAGATGGCCGCGCAGCTAGCATGGATCGGGCTCGGTAACATGGGCCGGGTACGCGCTCCCCCTCCCCCTCACCGAGACTCGGCTCACCCGCCCGGACGACCCGCAGGGCATGTGCAAAAACCTCATCGAGAAAGGCAACCTCTCCAAGCCGCTCATCATCTACAACCGCACGCGCAAGCGCGCGGACGACCTCTCCGCGACGACGGGCGGGCAGACCGCGGTCGCGGCGACGATCGCGGAGGCCGTGGCGCGCGCGGACATCATCTTCACGTGCGTGGGCGACGACAAGGCGATCGCGGACACGCTCGCGCAGGCGGTGGCGGGCCCCGCGCGCGTGCGGGGGAAGCTGTTCGTCGACTGCTCGACGGTGCACCCGGACACGACCGCGCAGCTCGCGAAGGTGTGCAACGCGCAGGGCGCGGAGTTCGTCGCGATGCCAGGTGCGCATGTTCACAAGCAGGAAGAGGCCGTGCCGAAACTGACACTGACACTGACACTGACGTTGCGCCCTGACAGTGTTCGGCGCGCCCGCGATGGCGGACAACGGCCAGCTCGTGTGCGTGCTCGCCGGGCCTGCCGCCGCGGTCGACAAGGTCCGGCCGTACACCACCGGCGTCGTGGGCCGCGCCGTCATCGACTTCAGCGGCCAGCCGCAGAGCAAAGCGACTCTCCTCAAGATCATCGGGAACACGTTCATCCTGAACATGGTCGAGACGCTCGCGCAGGGGCACGCGCTCGCAGAGAAGAGCGGGTTGGGGGTAGATAATCTGCAGCAGTTCATCGAGACGATGTTCCCCGGGCCGTACTTTGCGTATTCGAAGCGGATGTCGACGGGGGATTACTATAAGCGCGAGGAGGTGAGTGGGCAGGCTGGGATTTCGCGTTGGTGTCAGGATGCGTGGGTGAGAGCGCTGACTCGTATGGGGTGATGTAGCCGCTGTTCGCTGTCGACCTGGCGCGGAAGGACGCGAAGCACGCGCTGGCCATCGCCAAGGCGTCCGGAACGAGCCTCAGGAACATGGAGGTGGCCGATAGCCACCTCGAAGCCGTGCAAAAACACATGGGATCCAAGGGTAAGCACCAGCGTCACCCTATGTGCGAGGAAGAATGGAGCTGATGTTTTGTGTGCTTGGAAGGCGATATCGCGGGCATCTACGGGGCTGTGAGGCAGGAGAGCGGGCTTCCTTTCGAGGTGTAGAGGAAATGTTGGGACGGACCTTGCATGGGAGAAGTTGATCGAGAAAGTTGTAATTGTATCTGAGCGTTAAGATCACTATGGCCTTGTGGATCTGGTTGGACGGAACCGCCCTTCCTTTGCGATATTGCGCCGGGTAAGTACGGATCTAAGAGCCATTGCTGGCCCGAGATGCAAGGCAGCTTTCTCCCAGCGGCGCTCGTAGACATGAAGATTACCTTCGTTCCAACATCCCAATGTAACAGCGTATACAGCTGCAGGTCTCAGCGTGTCTACATGCGCTATTACAACGGGACACACAAACGGGCTTGCCCGATGGAATCCAACCGCTGGACTCGGAGAGGGTGGAAAGACAAGGGGATACACCCAGGAGGCCCGCGGCATAGCGAACCCCGGAAGTGCGGGTCCTACGCAATCCGAGCTCAGGTTCGAATTTCAAAACCGGCCCAATCGCATCCCCGCAACTCTCGAGCGGTCGGTCCTCCCCAAGTCGCTACCATCTCCCGAGCGCGTACGCATCCCCCCGCTCGCCGCGCCCACCCCCCACGCATGCTCCACAGCGCGGCCGAGGATGACGCGAGACGCGAGGGACGCTGATTGGAGGGCCGGCGCGGGGGATATAAGACCAGAGCGTTCGACAATATCCCTAGACACCGAGCTCGCGAAGACGGCGCCGCAGGTTGCATGGATCGGGCGGGGTGTCAACAGGCCGGGTACGCCCCGCCCCGCCCCCCCTTCTTCCCCCACTCACCCCCGCTCGCAGGCCACGGCCAAGAACCTCATCACGCACGGGGCCCTCTCCGCCCTCTGCCGCGCGGCCGCCCTCGTCGGCGCCGCGGACACCGTGTTCTTCTGCGTGGGGAGCGACGCGGCGGTCGGGCGCGCGGGGAGGTGTTCGTCGACTGCTGGACGGTGCACCCGCGCGGGGGTGGGGTCCGTCGCGACGCCCGGTGCGTGCGTCGCAAGGGGGGCGGGTTGAGTGACAGTGGATGGGGGCATCCGTGTTCGGCTCGCGCGCGAGGGCAGACGACCGCCAGCTCGCGGCCGTGCCCGCGGCGGACCAAATCCTGCCCTGCACGACCGGCGTCGTCTGCGGCGCGCTGATCGAGCTGCGCGGGCACGGCGGCGCTGCTGCAGATCGTCGGGAACACGCTCGCGCTGAACATGGTCGAGGCGCTCGCGGGCCCGGTGGATGTGGTGAGGAAGGACGCGAGGCATATGTTGGCGCTGGCGGAGGCGACAGGGACGAGGCTGAGGAATATAGAAAACGTGGATCTTCACGTAGAGGCCGTGCAGAAGCACACGAACCGCAAGTGGTGAGCACCGACGTCTACCGCCAACGAAACTGATGTATGAATACCTGAAGGGGACAGAGCGGGCTTCCATTCGAGAACTAGAAGAAATGTCAGGACGAAGCTAGAGGTGGTGTAATTATACCCGGGCATAGAGATAACGAGGGAGACGGTCTTCATTTGCGCAAGACGATCGTGCAGGGAAGTGCCCTTAAGGCAATTATAGCTCAGGGATGGCAGAGAGAGACTTGCTTTCAGCTTGAACTGAAGGAAAGGCTCGTTGTTGTAAAAGATAGATGTGACGTTACAAGAGGTAGAATGCAAGTCCGAGGAAGCGATGACATCAAGCGAGTGGCGGTGCAGCTGATCTCCGATCTCGAGGCTGCCGCTCCATCCCGCCCTCTCTCCCATCCATCCTGTACCCTGACCCTTACGCTCCTTTCCACCTCCGCCGAGTCGAGCACCGCGTTTGAGACAAAACATGCCTGGCTGGTGCGTCTGTTTGCCTTGAACTCCCGGTTTGTGCGCTGCAACGGTCTGCAACAGGGTCGATTTTCTCTCCTTCATCCTCGTACGTCCGGTTGTTATCACCCGTCACATCTCACCCAAGCTGCGCAGACCGCAGGCCTCTTCGGCGGGGCCATCGTCGCCGCCATCTACGCCGCCAACGCCATCTCCAAAGCCGCCGAAAACACCAAAGCATCGTACGCCCCTCCCCTCTTCCCTCCTCTCCCCTCTCTCCCCTTATCCCTCCCCCAACCAGACTGAAAGCAAAGGGCGTCAACATCTCCAAGTCCGGCATGTCCGTCAAGACCTCCGCGCGCTACACCCGCGAGGACTACATCGACGCGACCCAGCGCGGCTTCATCAAGAGCATCTCCGCCGCCTCCTTCGGCCAGCACGACCCCACCACCCCCCAGCCGCCCGTGCTCGAGCGCCGCGACTCGGCCGCGAGCACAAACAGCGTCGCGAGTATCGGCGACAAGGAGCGCAAGCACCGCTTGTTCGGGATGAGGAGGACCCACAGCAGCGCGGGGAGCGGCAAGTGAGCGGGCACAAGAGCGAGTTGACAGGCCTCGGGTGATATATATACTACACGGACTCTGCGTGCTAAAAGGCGTCTCGCCGTTGCTTTGTGCTTTGTCCTGCTCTGCCGCGTTCTGTTGGTACTCGTACGGAAGTGTACAACTATTCCTATTTATTCACGTCGATGACACAAACACAAACGACCGCAAGAGACCCATATGCATGTGACCATGGCACCCCTACCCAGCCATAAACGTCCCCTCCAACCCCACCCCCTCTCCCTCTCCCTCATCCACCTCCATCCCCCCCGCCCCCTCCTTCTCCCTCCTCGCCGCCCGCCTGCTCTTCTTCGCCTCGCGCTTCAGCACCCGCCGGCTCAGCGGGTTGCGCCCCGCCATCGCCGCGTGCCCGTCGCCCACGTCCTTCGACCGCCGGAGGCGCTTCGGCGCGCGCGGGACCGTCTCCGTCTCCGAGTCTACCATGGAAGGCGACGGGGGCGGGGAGCGCGAGCGCGAGCGCGGGCGTTTGCGCTGCAGCGCAGCGGGAGCGGGCTCGTCCGCTTCCATCGCGGCGCTGCGACGGGCGGGGGAGGGAGAGATGGGATGAGCAAGCGCACACGGGACGGTTCGAGGTACACGCGCGACCTACCCGTCCTCCTCCATCCCCGCCCCCGCCCCCGCCCCCGCCGCCTCCTCGACCTGCATCTCCGCGTCCTCCCACGCGCCCCGGTCCGCCTGGCCGAACAGGCCCTCGATGGTGAACGCCGGCGCGAACGCGCCCACGATCTTCGCCTCGCCCACGCTCTCCGCGCCCCGCGCGACCTGCCCGTCCCCGTCTTTGGAGGGGAGCAGCGACGGGTGCACCGCGGGCGGCCGCGTGCAGTACGGGATCTTTTGGTGGTTCCAGTCCGTGAGGACGTGGCGCGCGGTGGCGAGGAGGTCGGGGGTGCCGCCCTAGCCGGGGGGGGGACGTTAGTGTTTGTGTGGGTGGGGTTAGTGGGAAGAGCAGGGAGAGGGTCGGGGATAGGGGGAGACGGGGAAAGAGACGGACCTTGAGCAGCCGCCCCGTGGTCATCGCGAGCATGGTGAGGAACTCGAGCGTCGAGCCGAACGGCGGGAGGTTGTATATCTTCTGCAACGTCTCCTTCTCCGTCCTCGCTACAATCTCCTCCACTACACGCCACCACCCACACAACACGCCATCGAATCAAGTCAGCCTCGGTTCTGCGCGCAAGGCCGAAGGGGGCAAGGCGCACCGACGGCGATCGGATCCTCCACGTCCTCGACCTTGACGACGTTCCGGAGGAGCACGCTCCCCTTCCTGCCCGTGCCCTTGCCGTTATCATCCCAGTCGTCGTCGTCGTCGTCGAAGACGACGCCGGGCGAGTCGACGATGCGCAGCCCGCGCTCGAGCTGCACGCTCTGCAGCTCCCGCGTGTGCCCCGGCTGCGCCGCGACGCCGCACGCCTGTCCGCGCCCCACCCCGCGTCAGCCCTTCAACCCCACCGCAGACACCCGCGCAGGCACGGCGCACCTTGGACCGCTTGAGCGAGTTGATGAGGCTGCTCTTCCCGACGTTCGGGTAGCCCACGACGCCGACGGTGAGGCTCTGCGCGTGCGGCTTGTACGCCTTGAGCAGGCGCAGCAGCGCGGGCGCCGTCGCGGTGGACAGGTTGCTGCGCTGCGTGGAGGGCGCGCAGCGGAAGGGCAGCGTCGGCGTCGTGTGCCGCAGGTAGCGCAGCCACTGTTGCGCGTTCTCGCGCGGGACGAGGTCTGCACGCGTGCATGCGGGTGGTGGGTTGGTTGGGAGGAAGAAGGGGGAGGGAGGGGAGACGGACTGACCGATCTTGTTCAGCACGAAGACGAGCTTCTTGCCCTCGCTCTCGCGCCGCCGCACCTCCTCCTCGACGAGCCGGCTGCGGCACCCCTCCGGGTCGCGCGCGTCGAGCACGAGGACGACGATGTCGCTCTGGTCGATCACCTTGTGCAGCGCGCGGAGGTGGTGTCTTCTCAGCTGCTCCTTCGTCTTGCCCGCGTTCGCACCAGAGGCGGAGGGGTCGTCGGGGTTGGGTTCGGCGTGGGCGGCGAGCTGCGCGAGCGAGGAGAGCGTCGGCTCGGAGGCCATGGGCGTGTCCGGGTCGGCGCGGTGGAGGGTGGGCGACTGTTTGCGTTGTCTAGCGCGTGCGAGGGGATGCGGAGGAGGGGAGAGGGTACTCACCAGTCTGATGCGCTCTTTCTCGGCATTGCGCACTTTGAGGTCGGGCAGGCGCGGGATGCCAGGGTCTTTCTTCAGTTCTGTTGAAAGTATAGGATGATACATGCGTATGATTTTGATGAGATACGTACTCGTCTTGGTAGGAACGGCGATCTTCTTGGTGTGCTCTAGGTCTTTCGTTAGGCTGGTGTGAGGTCAGTTTTGAGTGGGAAATTTTACTGTTTCTCCCCATGCTTTGTCCGAGTATTCCGTTCAGGTTCTACGAACGGTAGGGCCGAGTAGAAGAGGGATAGATGTCTTGAGGCGAAGGCTTTGTGCAAATCGTCCGAAAGGAGTGTGTACACGATCTACATCAGCGCGTGCCACAATTCTGCGGCACGTTTTTTAGTCGCCGAGGACTACACCGTCTGTGGCAGCGTTCAAGCACCGGTATAGATGGTTTCTGTCACAGACGGTGGCGATTGACACACCGTAACTGGAATCTTTCCCTGTAATGAACTCGGGAGAGAGACAAAACACAGCTTAGGACTACAAAGGCTAGAAATACACTACAGATTTCCTTTTGATTTCGCTTCTTCCTCCTTCGCCTGCTTAACCGCAGCAAGGACCTTCACATGAGCCGCCTTACCGGCAGCAATGACCCCGTAGTTTTCCCCCAACGTACGTCCGAGACCGAAGTCCAGCGGCTCTCCTCTCGAGTCGGTAATGACGCCGCCGGCTTCCTCTACCAGAACTGATCCCGATGCGTGGTCCTAAGATGCACATGAGTTTTGTAATAAAACACTTGCAAAGAAGGATAGACGTACCCAGATCTTCTCTTTATACCCAACACCTGTGGGCATCCGGAGGTAGACACCCCCGTCGCCCCTGGCAAGGCAGCAGTACTTGGCCTGGCTGTCCATCCGGATCGGCGCGCGCTTGATCCCGAGGAGTTGGGCGACGCGGTCGTTGAATGAATGGGAGGAATGCGCAGCCTCGACCGACTCGAGGAAGTTGAGCTCCTCGTCGGCGAAGGTGGGGATCTTGAGGGGTCTGGGGTCGGATCCGGACATGGTCAGCTACATGTCATGGAAGTGAGTACAGAGATAGCAACGGTCAGGGGAAAGGCGGTACCCACCTGTTTGGACCCGTGTCCGCGGATACCGACGAATATGCAGCCCCTTGGGCCGTCAGGGTTGGATGCGTCCACGGGGAGGTTGGGGCAGCCCATGACTCCGAGCTGGACCTTCGCGTCCACAATCAGGGCCAGACAGACGGCGTACTGCTCTCCGCGGAGGAAACCCTTGGTGCCGTCGATAGGGTCAAGCGTCCACATACCTACCTTGAAGTCAGCACAGGTTGAGATGCATGACTCGGCAAGAGACTCACGTCCGGTCCGTCCGCCTTCATATGTCCCTCGGTCAATCGCATCTAGCAGCTCATCCGCTGTGCGTGACTGCCCAGGACCGAGACCCCACTCCGCCATCTCCCCGATCCCGAGCTCCGCCGTCAATGTCTCGTTTGCGAGCTCCACAATGCGGTTCTTGAGCGTTGCTCCGGACTCGACGCGGAGGTCGTTCGCATCCTCTTCACCCACGATGGGGTCATCGGGGAAGGCACGCCCAAGGATGGTGTTGACCACAGCCTGCGCAGCAAAATCGCCCGCTAGCATAGAATGAGCATTAGTGACATTTTAATGACTATATGCGTACCAGTCACCGGCGACTTGTCGCCCTTCACCAGGGTCTCATTCTTCACGAGCTTATTGAACACCGACGAGGTGAGCATGCACGCCCGGCGCACCGCCGCGACGGCGACCTGCTCCTCCGCAGCAAAGTTGAGAGACATTATCGGGCGTATGAAGTTGGTCGTTTACCGTACGGCAGAGGTGCGTCTTATAGCAGCCGCCGACATAAATCGCGTTGCAGAGAATGGCTGGTGCAGAAGGGAGGGGCCAATTCCATAAATTGATCACGTGGGCGGGACGCGGCTCACTCAGCGCGTGCGATGCGCGTCGGGACAGCCAGTCAGAGCGCTCTGAATGAGGATTTTATGGAATTGTGTCGTTGGGGAGTGATGAGGACGCGATGGAGTTTCGTCAAAACTATGGCATGGGATGATGTGTAGGTACATGGATTCTCAGAGTTTAGCCTGTGTGCACAAGCTCAGTCTTGTCACAAAATCGAGAGTAGATTGTGGAGTACTACCAAGAATACCATTCAGCAAAATTAGGTATACATGCCCTTCAGAAGTGAGTCCCAGAGCATACCGATCCAAAGGCGAGGGAAAGAAAACATATCCCAAACAGGTAAATGTCCTTACATAAACGCCACGTGATGCAGCCCAAAAGTTTCGCTGCCGACTTGGTTTGCAGAGGTGCAGCCTTGAGCATGGCCACCATCGCATCTGCTGTCCGCCAGCCATGCCTGAGGCGGCTGTGCAGGGCAACCCACGGTGATATCTTCTCTGGATGGTCTCTTGGAGGACGTCGCGCAGCCTCGGTAGCCACCGCGGCGAAGTTGAAGGAGGAGGTCGCGGAGGCACCCACCTACCCGACTTACGAGCTCTCGGACAAGGACTTGCAACGCCTCGCAAAGCAACGCAATATTGGCGTTTCGGCGCATATAGACTCTGGGAAGACGACCCTGACGGAACGGATATTGTATTATACTGGTAGAATCCGGGAGATTCACGAGGTTCGTTCGTTTCTTCTGGTGTGCTAGACGGACGCGGGGCCTTCGTTATTCAAGACTCCTCGTTCGTTCCAGCCATGACTTTATCTCAACATTAAATAATAGAATGGGGACGGCAGGCATGGAGCCTCAGATACCGCGCCTTTGGTCCGGCGCAATGTCTGACTTTCCATCCCGGCCATTCTCTGCACCAGTACCTTTCCCCGGACTTCACTGTGCTTCGTCAGGACGAGGAGCACTGAATGTCGGGGACTCGGTGATCGTGCACACCTCATATGTTGGATTCCGAAGTAAAAGAACGACGCTGAACACGCAATAGGTTCGCGGTCGTGATGCTGTTGGCGCCAAGATGGATAGTATGGAGCTGGAGCGGGAGAAGGGTATCACCATTCAAAGCGCAGCAACCTTCTGCGACTGGACTGCCAAGTTACCCACCGGCGAACAAGAAAAGTATGCTATTAATATTATTGATACACCTGGTAAGTCACGAAGGCATGCCTGCACGATTTCTCGATCAACCTGTTGCACATAGGCCACGTCGACTTTACGATAGAAGTAGAACGAGCCTTGCGAGTTTTGGATGGTGCAATTCTGGTTTTATGCGCGGTTGCTGGAGTCCAAGTGAGTGTACCCCCTTCAATCACCTCTCTTCCAGTGCTTATGCAGGCGACACCAGAGTCAAACAACGACAGTGGACAGGCAAATGCGACGGTATAATGTTCCTAGGATCTCATTTATAAACAAGATGGACAGGTAACCTCTAAACAACGCCTGCCGATGTCCAGCGCTCACATACTCCTACAGACCTGGAGCTAATCCATGGCGCGTCATTGGTCAAATTCGGTCAAAACTCCGTATCGCTGCTGCTGCTGTGCATGTCCCCATCGGCGTGGAGGACGAGTTCAGAGGTGTCGTCGATTTGGTCCGTTGGAAAGCCGTTTACAACGAAGGCGAGAAAGGGTATGGTTGTCTGCGTATCATGTATAATGTTTGCCCTTAACCTCCCCATAGCGTTAATATCCGCGAAACGGACGAGATACCCGCCGAGGTTTTGGATCTGGCTAAGCAGAAGCGTACGGAACTCATCGAACAACTCGCTGAAGTGGACGACGAGATCGGTGAAATATTTCTCAACGATGAAGAGCCGTCCTTGGAGCAACTGGTCTCTGCCATCCGGCGAGCCACGGTCGGCCTCAAGTTCTCCCCGGTCTTCCTCGGCTCTGCCATCAAGAATACGGGTGTCCAGCCGCTCCTCGACGGTGTCTGCGCCTACCTGCCGAACCCAGCCGAAAGCCTCGTCACTGCGCACGACACCTCGCAGCCTGTATCTTCCCCGCCGGTGCCCCTCGCTCCCGCAGCCGCTGCGCCCTTGGTAGCGCTGGCGTTCAAGCTGGAGGAAGGACGTTTCGGTCAGCTGACTTACATGCGGGTGTACCAGGGTAGCCTCAGGAAGGGCGGACACATCTATCATGCTAGAACTGGCAAGAAGGTTAAGGTGCCCCGTCTTGTACGCATGCACAGTAACGAGATGGAGGTAAGAGAAGATCACACTCGTCTTCTGTAAAGATGATCAATGATGGCTCCAGGATATCGATGAAATTGGACCTGGCGAAATTTGCGCTATGTTTGGCGTCGAGTGCGCGTCTGGAGATACCTTCACTGATGGTTCTACGTCATTTTCAATGGTATGTTTGTTTTGACATTCATCAGGTGACGGTGTCCCTGATCCGTCCTATAGACTTCTATGTACGTTCCCGAACCTGTTATCTCTCTGGCTCTCAAGCCGGTGGGAACTGAGTCGCCGAACTTCTCTCGTGCTTTGAACCGATTCCAAAAAGAAGATCCGACGTTCAAAGTCCACATTGATCATGAGAGCAAAGAGGTACTGTCTTTCCCCATCGAAAAGCGCGATCCAGGTACTTACCTTCGCCTAGACTATCATCTCTGGTATGGGCGAGCTTCACCTCGAAATCTACGTGGAGCGCATGAGGCGTGAGTACAACGTCGAGTGCACTACCGGCAAGCCCAAGGTTGCCTTCCGGGAGACTGTCACGCAGCGAGCAGACTTCACGTACACCCACAAGAAGCAGACCGGTGGTGCGGGTCAGTACGCGAAGGTTATTGGGTACATCGAGCCCTGTGAGCCGGATCCCGAGACCGGGAAGGATGTCGACTTCGAGAGCGTCGTTATGAGCGGCAATGTCCCGTCTAACTACATCCCGGCGGTCGAGAAAGGTTTCTATGAAGCTTTGGAAAAGGGTTCGCTTTCGGGCAACCCTGTATCTGGAGTTCGCATGGTGCTGAAGGATGGTGGTTTCCACGTTGTTGACTCGTCCGAGTTGGCTTTCCGTCTCGCCACTATCGGTGCCTTCCGTGAGATATACTCTAAGGCGGCTCCTGTCATCCTGGAGCCGATTATGACGGTTGAGGTCGTTGCACCTATTGAGTTCCAAAGTATGTGGGTTTCACCATGTATCATCTGACTGGACTCACGGTCGCATTTAGGTGCTGTAATTGGTGGCTTAAATTCGCGGCGTGGTACCATCATTGACAGCGAAGTCCGCGAGGACGAATTCACGTGTATAGCGGAGGTCGCATTGAACGACATGTTCGGCTACTCCAGTCAATTACGAGGAGCTACACAGGGTAAAGGCGAATTCAGTATGGAGTACAAGGTAGGTCTTACCAGAGTTGGGGCGGAGGCACATCCAGCTAACGAGCTCCCGTTAGACACATTTACCAGTGCTTCCGCATGTCCAGAAGGAGTTAGAGGAGGCTTATCGCAAGTCACTCCCTCAGGCGAAGAAGTAAACTGCTTGGTCGCCTCCGATACCGTAGACATCATCTACATTTATTTTGTCATCCACGCATTCGCTATCGACGGTGGCTGAACGCAATCCGACACTGAAAAGACGGGGATGCCATCATTTAGTATGATTCATTGCTCTTTCGGCCTAGAGACATTTAGTTCAAAATCATGTTTGAGTCTCTTCGAGATGGCGCTGATTTCCTGCAGACTGTCGCAGACCGTTGATAAATTACCTTGCGACTAGCAAGGTCTCCGCTGCGCTGCGCGTCGGGAATCGAGCCATCAAACCTGTATTTGTTTATGTTGTTTTGTGGCTACTACTTGTGGCGCATCATGCCTGTGCTGTCTTCTACGAGCTGAGGCTGCACTCATCCTTCATGCACGAGCTTTTCAACATTACAGACATTTGAGTAAATAATGGCACTAACGCTTGCGGAAAAGTTTTAGATAGCGAGTCCGTGACTTGGCCACTAGGACTTCTGAGGTGCTCCAAGTGTCAGTTGTGGCAGTGTAAGTGTCAGCTCGCCCAAGGTACCCACGACTGATTCCACCAAGTCCTCGCTCGAGATATCAAACTTCCCGGCCGGCAGTGCCATTAATTTTGCAAACGGCTGTAAGAATGGTTTGGTGAATGGGAAGAGTGGCAAAATAGTATAGTGTCCTCATCCTCACTACTCAGCTTAATCAGGAATCACAACTATAAATAAATCACAGTATATACATGTAAGCCATAAGTACAGATAGTAGAATTAAGAAAATCCATGTCATTCCATGGCTTATGATCATCATGAGGCCCAACAGACTGTAAGATGAAACTATGATGTGAGATGGATGCCAGATGTCCAGGCAACAGACATGCACCATTAGGCATTCTTGTAGAGGGGGTAAGTATCTCTTAGACTACTTAGGATACAACAGCACAGGACATTCTACCTGGCCCTAGATGGAGCTTGACTGAAAGAGAACCGGGGAAAACTTGGGTCCCCTACATTGCTAACAATATCCCTTGCATTATCTTACATGGTATAAATACTCTCCTTATGACGATTTGTGGACCCCCTGTACATGTAGCAGCCACAACATCTTGAACTTAGTGCAAGTTCTCAAGGTCAATTTCTTGAACAAAGGAGGGGTTAGTTGCCGGCGCCAGATGGCACTTCACGAGTTAGAAAACATCTTCACAGAGATCCAGGAGTCGGACGCGAGACGGATGGTTCTAGGAGCCTGACCCATCCTGCGCAGTCCGAGAGATGTCCCGTCTCCCGGAATGCGCAGGATGGTAATATTCAGCTGGCCTGCTAAACCACGGAAACCTCTACTTACAGTATTATGTTCGGCTGGCCACTGGCAGCCTGCACTGAGATCCGAGGCTCTCCAAGTACCCCTAACATCTATCACAATGCTAGTACTCTCTACACTGTTATAGGGGTTAGCAAGGTCCTATACAGAAAGTATATTATACACTGATCGGCCCCATCACACAAAGGAGGGGTAAGATGCCCGTACCAGACGGAGCTTCCGAGTGTCTGTCGGGCGCGTATTTAGTGTACTCACGACTGAAGTTGCTTCACCGGTGATTGGACGATCGCTGACATCTTCAAAATGATGATTCTCGCCGCCTGATGAATACTAATACTCTGCATCACAATTATTAGGAGATACTTCGGGCTACCCACAGATCGCAGCTATGCAGAATCAAGGGTTATGATCAAGGGTGAACCTGCGGCTTTCATATAGACACCTGGTGTCTCCGAAAGGGAGATCGTCCTGCTTCTGTGATTTCCTTGTAGCAACTGTCAAGATATTCTAAGCTGGTGGTTGCTCTTATACAAGCTGCACAGGTCACTAGTGCCTGTCCATCTGTTTCGCGGTTTCCCATCTACGCAAGTACGCGCCCCCACAATCTGGGACAGCTCCGTCAACACTGTTAGTATCATCAAGTGTTTCCACGCCGTGCGCTCTGCGTTATCTTTATAACTGGTACTGACAAAATATAGATTTGATCCCAATGACAGTGGTAATATATATTGCTCCGTGAGGACCCTGTATATACAAGACCATCACTTGCGCTCCTCAGGTACATCCAAATTGTTCACATACCTGCCAGTGCTCAGAGACGTCCAACATGCCTAGTTTGTCCCACAATCAGGTATGTCCATGACAGCGGTACTTATTCACACATTATTCATTTCTTTCAGTGGACTATCCTCCAGGCTGTGGTACGTGTATAGGATAATCTCCAGGTCCCATTATTACTGTTCATTCACTCGGAGCCGGCTGCCCTAGCTATCCACTTTGCTCTACGGTAAGTTATGGAAACTTCGCGCTTACTAGGGAACTCAACTCGATCCTTACAGGAGTGTATTCCGTCATATTTCTCGGATGCCTGTACATTTTCTTCTCCCAGTATAACGAGGCGCAACACAAGCGCCTGGTGCTGATCAATATTGTCCTATTTCTACTCTGTACAGCTCAGTGGGCCTCCTTTTTCCTCCTTGCACTCCTCACAACGGATCCCGTATCGGATTATACGGCTGCTGTGAAGCAGGCGTACGTCAAGGACATCCTCGTGGACCTGAATAGCTTGGCCAATACAGCTGCAGTGTAAGGCTTCTATCGCGAATCATGGAGAATCATATTCCTGACCCGAATCAGGTGTACTGCAGATGGTTTACTAGTAAGCTGCTATCTATGGTGTTCTTGGAGGATAAGAGTAGGTTCTCAACAGTATGCTCGCAGATATGGAGGTGCCGAAAGATATGGGGTGGCCGCTTGTCAGTAGTTGTCCTCCCTATCCTTGTCCTCATCGTAGGAGCAGGTTGGTTTGCACGGGCATCCTAGGTTGTATGTATACTGATAGAGGCTTCTGCAGGATGTGGAATCGTGAACTTCGTTACAATCACCATACAAATAGCGATGCAACATGCAAATGCTCTCGCCGACCCCTCACCGCCGCCGCTGTGGTTTACGCTGGCCAACATTTCTGCCGACGTAGAAATTGCTCTTGCTGCAGCCTCGTTTCTCGTGAATATGTTGATGACAGTGCTGATAGGTACCCAATGAAATATCTGTACATCACAAGCTGCTCATGCTCTACTCGTTAGGTGCAAGAATATGGTGGAACACCCGAGGACTCAATGAAATGTTTGGTCGCAATCAAAGGAAGGAATATATCCGAGTGATCTTGGTAGTGTAAGTTAACTCTCCATGGATGGATACTCCCGCTTTGACTGACCAATATAGTCTCGAGTCCGGCGCCGTCTACTCCTTGCTTCTTCTCTTGTCCATGATATTCACCGCCCTTGCCGGAGATTCAGCGAATAAATACAATGACTACGTGAGTAGGCCCCAAGATGAACCCCTTGCCCCGGACGTCTGATACCAACGTATTGGCATGCTAGACGAATACTATCAACTCAATCAGCTTCCAAGTTGTCGTTAGTCATTCTATTCACGCTCTCACATGGTCCCTCGCCTATCGACTAAAATTGCTATTGCAGGGTATATTTCCTACCGCCATCCTCCTCCTGGTACGGCTGGGATTCACGTCAGAAAACGCGACGAATTCTGCGGGGACCGGAGCGACCTTATCTAGATCGATGCAATTTGCCCCACGTCAAGCTATAAATATTTCGGCGCGGGACGAGGGGGTGCAGGAGCTCAGCTTAGGCCTCTCAGTCATGAATGGACCAAAACAGCATGGCTCCAGAAACCCGGGCATGTCCTCGAGCAGTGATGCGGTGGGATGCTTGGTATCGCTGTTCATCTGTTGTTCTCCGATCTACCGTCTCACACTACACCTCAGGTTTGAACAACAGTCTCTGGACAGCTGGAACATCCTTCTGACCCGCTGGCCCTGCCTTCCCAGTACCAGGTCCGCTTTGTGGACGTCTCGTCGCTCCCTCGCTGGGTGCGGTAGATATTCGGGCCTGTAGTCGTGTTGACGTACTGTTCGTGTTATTCCTTTCACTAGATACTTCCTGTCTATCAAACGTGTACGATCCGGGATCGCACCTTGGAAGATACATTGTTCAAGAGAGATGTGAGAACACGGTGATCTCACAGTAGACCTTGAACTTTAATTTCTCCCCATAAGAGTGTCCGATGTAATGCGCTGAAGCCCCTTACGGCAGGATATTCGCTGCCTCAAATGGCACACGCAACAGGTAGCGTCTTCGCTTCACTGCTAGTGACAGACCACTGATGACGAGAAAAACTAACTACACAACAAGATCCTACGACAAAGACGGGACGCCGACGAACTTAGCTGGTCATGTCACTCACGCACTCCCACGTCCCCTTCAAGTTCTCTTTCCACAGGGTCACCTTACCGTCCCCGCAGCTAACAGCCAAGATGTTCCCGGCAAGACTCCACGACACTCGCCATACGACGTCAGGGAACCTCGGCGGAGTAGCTGAGGCCGGCGTTACAGATGCGCCCGTAGGGTCGAGTGCCGTCTTGACCCATGGCGATGTCGGAGTGTCTTTGGTCCAAATAAACACAGTTTTATCCTGTAATGAGTGGTAATGATTCGGCGAAGTGTTTGGAAAGACAGAACTTAAATGCCGTGCGTACCTGAGAAGCAGTCGCAATATAACTTCTCGGCAGGCCAATGTTCGGTGCCCACGCGACATCCCGAACCCAGTCAGTGTGGCCTTCGAGTGTCTCCTCCTCGACCCAGGAATGCGACTCCTCGTTGAACGCCCAGATCTTCACGAGGTTATCGCAGCCCGCGCTGGCGAATCGCTTGACTGTTTGTAACGTGGGTGGAGCCTGGCCTGGAACCGTATTATTCTGCGGCACGATCAGTGAGCCTGGCTGTACGGCCGGAGCCCAGGAGATGGCGTTGCAGCCGATGGCGTGGCCATTGAAGGCGTCGAAGTCCCATTGGCCGTCATCTAGGTAGTGCAGGATGGTAAAGGCGACTGGATCGGGTCGTTAATCGGGTGGGACGTACTTTTGAACGTCACGACAGATATTTTGCCGTCGGAGGATGCGCATGCGAGGATGGGTCCCAACTCGTGTGGTGCCCATGACACGGAATTAACTAGAACAGGGCAACAAAGTACACCCTTAATCTGAGACGCCGGGTGGAATAGAAAGCCTCGTACCTGAAGCAGTATGATACGTGTGCTCCTTAATCTTCGTCCAACCCGCTCCAGGAGCTTGCTCCTTCCAGATCAACACCTTCCCATCGTAAGAACACGACGCCAAAATAGAGCCATATTTCGGATGTCCCCATGCGACCTGCCATACAGGTCCTGTGTGCCTTGCTGAAGGTCAACAAATGGGCGTCTGCTACGACCGCCGAGACTTACTTACCCCCTCAGCGTGTGCCCCGGGGTCTTGCGAGCCTCTCCTTCCACAATGTCGAAGACCTTCACTGTTCGGTCAGATGAGCAAGTGGCCAACCGTTTCCCGTAGTAGTCCAGCTGGGCATCATGCTGCAGCAGACGTCAGAAACCAGTATACCATTGGAAGCTGCAGGCAGACGCGTACAATCATGTCTTCATGAGCCGTTTCCACAGGGATTGGTTCGCTAGCATTTGCTGCTGCCTAAAGATTCGTGAATAACAGCAGTCTAAGCTAAAGACGCGTCGACTGACCATCTTGAACAGCCGTACCAACCCGAACAGATGTGGGACTTTGAGACTTCGACGTTCATGGAAACGTGGCTGCTTGGTTCTATTTGCTACTGCCCGCATTCGGAAGCTACCTTCCCAATTTGGCATGTACAGTATGTTTCCCCTGTACTTCTGTTTTGCATCACGACTCGAGAGTCCCTGCTTGCCTTATGCATTAGCTCATTCCATCCGTCTGAACTTCATGGATGAAACGGTTAAGGTATTCCTGAGTTCTCGGGAAGTATGGATCTATCTTTCATACATGTCCTTTGGGAGCTCGCGGAGTCGCGGTCTGACAAGGGTCATGCTTGAAAGAGTACGTTACCAAAATCTTCTCGGTACGTTGAGTCGTCTTCGCATAGAAGAGATGCTGGCTCTAGTGAGCAGAGTGATCAGGGTGATAACCAACGTGATAGAGATAGTCAGACTGTGAAGTCCCCTTCTCCGGTATGCTGCAGCCGACATTATCGATCACAGGAATCACTACTAGTGTCAATGACCCACAGTACAATGTCATGGCCCCGACAGCTAGCTGAAGTTCTGGGACCTGTGTTGCGCACTTCCGACGGTGCCTCCCATGTTTCTAGACCGAGTCGAGGTGCGATCATTATTCCCGTCTGTGATATGGGTATCATTCAGTTCATTGATTCGGGTACTCATTTTCCAGGCCGGCTGTCCGCAGTATTAAGGTATAAGACTGTACACAGTGTACAGCGAGACAACTTGACAGTCGCTGTAATTTCCGGATACCCTTGCGTCTAGCTCGGGACTCCAGTTCAAAGTCAAAATGACAGCTGCAGCATAAACAAATACGGAGCCACCCGATTGGCATCTGAGCCTTCCTGCTCTAGCAGTGTTCGCTATTGGATCCTCCTGTGGCCTCTGCGTCGGTTTCCCCTTCAGGCGATCGACCTGTACTGACAATTCGGATCGGTGTTTAGAGGGCAAGCCCGGCCGTCCGACTTGACTTGACCACTCAGGAACATATCCACCGAGATGCGTTCCACCATCACGGGAATTGACATCCTGGTCGCAGCTTATCAGGACATAGACGGCCGGTTGTGCTTACAAGCAGCCTGCCAAACGAAAATACTGAGGGTCTTTGGTCTTGAACTCTGGCTTATCCACTAAATTTCGACATGCATGTGAGTTGCGACCTCATGTAGGGTCTCCATCACGACTCAGATATCATACAAGTGCACACCGTACCTCTACAGAATGGAAAACGTCCGACGCATTGCTGCGGTATCAAGAACTCGTTACGTAGTATGTGAGAAGTCCCTCAAAATCATGATATTTCCGCCCCATTTATCCCTCAGCGCCTGTGGTGTCAGCAGATCATCAACGCCCAAGGCTAAAGCCGATATCCGATGGCCACAGCGTGTTCATGCCGTGAACTTGCATCGATGCATGTGTACTCCACCCCCTCTCGAGGTTGTCGTCATTGCGGTCATGAATGAATAATTTAGGTTATTGTCTAACATCACGGATGAGTTGATTGTCCGAAGCGGACCCACAGACCGCCCTGGACGGAAAAGCAAAGTCGATGGTCAGGGTCAACTATGCCCTGAGAATGATAGGATGCGCACCTTGGCATAGAGGGTCAAAGCAGCTGCCGGCCATACTCTTTCGTATGTCTGGCGGCCTTTGCGAGACTTCCATTCCGGCGGTGGTAAGGACCCTTCTGGCTGGCAGTCCGAGGCCATAGAGAAGTGTTCTACTTGCTGCAATAGTCGCACGAGCAGATATGAGGCCTCGTTAAGCGCGTAGTTCTGGCCAATACACTGATTCAAGCAGATCATGTGAGTGAAGGATGATCGACGGAGACTTTACAGGCCGACATACCACTCTCGGACCAGCGCTAAATGGCGTGTACATCATTGGGTTCGCGGTATACCTGCTTAACCGATCGGGCTGGAGCCAACGATCCGGGTCAAAACTGTCTGCCTCCGGCCCCCACAATGCGGGGTTTCGCTGCGTCAGCAAGGGGAGATAAACAATGTTCGTCTTCGCGGGCATATACAGGGGCTGGGTCGGCAGCAAAGTGCCAGAATATGTGCCATCAGAAGGGGGAAGCGCACAAGCTGTCGCTCTGCTTTCTCGAATGTTGAGTGGTACCGGCGGGAAGAGCCGCAGAGTCTCGTGGATGACAGCACGCACTGATCGTCATTGAGTATCCTGCTCAAGGATGGTGAATTAGCGCCCTTACTGTATCTCAGATCCCTGATATTCTCGTATGTCGGAGTGCCCGTCGGCCCGCAGTGTTGTAAGACTTCGGCGCGAAGCCGCCGAGTAACCTCCGGATGCATGGCCAGGAAGTACGTCACGAAAGTAAGCAGGCATGCCGTCTGCACAGAAGCAACATGAGATATGGACGTGCGCAAGGTAATGCCGGTGCCAGATTTACGAACCGTATCTCGCGCTGCCAAGAGCATACTAAGTAGTTGGTCCCGGATCAGAGTAGGATCTGTTGTTCCGGCTCGTGGGTTAGGGCGGCACTTTACAGCCAATGGGCAGAAGGAACCTCACCATCTGTGCTATCAGCCAGATGCTGCAGAAAGTTCTTTTCTCCGACCGGGCTCTGGATGCCTGCTTTCCGCATCCGAGCCTTATCATCCAGAACGCGCTTGACAATCGGATCCAGCCACCGCCGGATAGTTTGGACTGACCGGAGAGTCTTATCCTCCCAGAATTCATGCAGAGGCCAGGTGTATCCTAATCGGGCGCGAGTGGTGATGATTTGTTGGCACTCTTCGAAGGCCTGGGCGAAGGTGCCAAAGTCGTCGTCTACCGCCGAGCCTTTAGCGCCCAGCGTCGCCTTGCCCGGCTCCGGGCGAGAACCTGACAGGGTATCGAAGTTCTCCCCAAAGAGGAATTCGGAAGCCGAATCCATCGTGAACCTTGAGTATAGATCCTGCACGTCGCACGCGACATTAGCTGACGCAGAGGATGTCACCACGGAAAGAAGTCGTTGTGCATGTTTCTCATAGAGTTCGAAATCGGAAATACGTTCCCGAGCGAAGAATGGGCGAGCCATGCTGCGATGCTGGAAATGAAATCAGCGCTACGGAGGGCAGTTTCCAGAAGAAGGTCATATACCATTTTCCACATCTGCCAATAGAATCGTGAGTACAGCGATATTCGGGGTTCGAGCGGGCTGACTTGCTTACCTCGTCATCGCGGTTGAAGATACCATTGCCCAAGAATGTTTCCCTGGCGTACAGTCAAATCTGCGCGCTGCAGGCTGCGACGGGAGATTGCACTTACATTCGTTCTTTCTGGAGCTTGCCACGCCAGAAGTGGTGGAAGCCAGTTGCTATGACGAACTTGGAATGTTCCTCGTCCATAGTGATGATCTATAGTAAAGTATCAGCAAGTAGAGGGCAATACAGAAGGTCTCTAGGAAACCACTAAGATTCCGTGTGAAGGAACGAGTCCCATGAGGTCTACTTGTCTTACCTGGTCGACCCAGAGTATACGGGTATTCAAAGTGGTGCATTGGTATTCTTCAAACAGTGCTAGGTATACGTCCAAAATGTAAGCCGTCTTGAAGGCCTTCATCATTTTGTACAGCACGTCGATGTTTCCTGGCAACTTCCCGACTACGCGCGGGATGGGTTTGGCGCCAAGACGTCTTGCATCTCGAGATTGCAGCCAGTCTGAGTACAGGCACCTGATGTAAGCCCAGATAAAGACGAAAAAAATGTGACAAGGCAAGTTAAGCAAGCCAAGACGAATCCCAGAAACTTGCAAGCCAAAGGACAGCAATACAGCGGGCACGATAAAGACACGACATACGTCCAAGAAGAGACGTCTGCGATACTGAGTCGGATGCATCTCAGGGTCGAACTGAGGGCTGGACTTGTGGCTGGATGGGTTCCTGGGCTATAGGAAACCTCCCGGGGTGGTTATATATGTGTCCCCTTCACATTTGTACGGTTGATCCCAGCTGACAGACTTCTTTCAGAAGTCTCACACCGTAATGGAAAAATACGATACTCTCGGTGAAAGTAGCGTAGAAGGTGCATTTGACCGAGGTGCGCCTGGGGAAGATCCAACTCTCTGAATCTGGATGCAGGAGCCGGGATGGGCACTGGCCATGTTGAGGAGGATCAAAGCATCCGCAACGTAAATTGTCGGTCCTTCGTGTACTCCGTTCCCACGGGTCGCGCTGCTGTTGAATTGCCTGCATACCGACTGGCGCTCCATGTGCCGGACGTCGTTCGGGACTCAGCTAGTAGACACCTTGCACCGGCTTGAGCAGACGCCGACCTCAATCGGGACATGGTCGTAAGTTTTATAGGTACAAGATCAAGTCTACTGCGGTTTTTTTTGCGTGACAGTCTTGTAGCTCGGCTTACTTTCTAGGCTGTTGCAATGAAGGTACGCATGGCTCCGCTCCTGAGCCTCTGGCGTACTCTCGGGACTGCATATCTTCCTAGCTTGCTTCTCGCCAAGTTATCTTTTCCGAAAATAATATTCCCCGGTTCCGCGAAAACCGTTGCAGGGACAATATCCTTTTTGACGGGGCCACCCTGTGGCTTCGTGGGCGCGCGTGGTATGTACTTATGGGATTATCAGCGCGGTTCTGCCGCGAGGTAGTTCGGTGAAGCTGATGGGGAGTGATAGAATTGCGTTAATTGCCGCTCTGCAAGACAGGGCACATAGGGTGCCCGGCTACTAGTACTTAGTGGACAAACAAACCGCGGCCAAAACTTCGACGGTACATGATAACTGGTCGCTCCTGAACCTGCCCAAAATCTGGACAGAGCCTGAAGAATCCCCTATTGCCTTCCCAGGTCAATGTCGTGAGATCAGCGGTGACTGCTAGTGCGTCATATATCGCGTTAGGGACCGCGCACAAAATCAGATAACTGTCGTAGCTGCCCTATAGCTAGTTCGTTGCTCTAGGGCAACATTGAAACATCCATCGACTCGCCACGGCCCAGATTCGCTTATCCTGACCACATGCGATACGCAATCTCTAGTAAATGAGGCTTGCGTGGCTGGAACTAGATCTCTTGAATCTGCAGCCGCCTTACTTTCATTGCCTTCCCGTGCGAACGCGCTTCGCATATTGGCGATTTCCAAGTCCCATATGTGGATCATTACGCTTCGTCGACGATTTGCATTCTCCAAATAGTCTTTGAGGGCGCATATGATCGGTTCTCGTTGCAAGCCTCCCGAACTTAATGCGTGGCGACATCGAGTATCACGTACTGTGTTTTTGCTGTCTTCCCTTCGCTGACTGTCGACCCAGCAATTTTAGGGTATTTCCTTGCACCACGACATCGATCGCGTCATTTGAGCCACGCAGGGTTGACCGTGATCGTCTGGATCTCACTTCGTCTCAAGTTTTGAAGCGATAGGCCAAGAATATGGGGTCAGCCTACCACACTTGATTTAGGCCCCATTTCCCTAGCTCAAGAATGGGTTCCGACCTTGCTCATATGATTTATTTTCGCAGCCTGGCGCAAGTCGAGGAGAGCCGTTCCTCATATTCTGGAAGACCTTTTTCAAATTTCGCGCCGTGGCCCACCGCTGGATGACGAGCATGACTTGTCCTTGTGTTCCTATGGATCTCTGAGTACAACCCAGACCCTACGCGGTCACTGGCTATTCCCCTCGTGCCCAGAGACCTCACCCACTGCTGGCTGGACCCGCGGTAATAGTACGGTATGGCAGACGGAACTCCTCTTTCACTCTCTTCTAGGCGTCTTGAATAACCGACACATCGACGAGCCCAGCGACTGGACTCACTTCGAGCGGCCAGTATCCGCCGCAGAGGCTGCCCTCATTGACCTGGTTAGTCAGCGCAGTCGGCGAATGTGTCCTAGCGTTGGCGATAAGATTCGGTCACTCGGACGAATCAGTGCTGCGGTCTAATCTGCTTGCGGTAGCTTATTCGGCCTGTTCTGCGGACTATCACGCTCTATCTAGAAGGTCTGAAGGTGGATAACGTTCTTCATCGGCTTGCTGTAGAAGCCGTCTGCTTTAGTCCCAGGCTCGGGGAGGGCATTAGCGCTATATGGGGCTATCGACCACTACGCTCGCGTGATAGCAGCTGGCGGATTTGTCTTTAACTCTGGTCGACCGAGATGGCTTGTCCGGTGGTGGTAGGTCAGTCGCCGATGGCGCCCACCTTAGCCGCTCGGGAACTCAGAAATCCCCGCTCGAGTGGGAAGAACCTACGATGCACTCCCAACCGTGTCGCTCAGTCTCGGATATGTGCTAGCCGATACCGAACGGTGTAATAACTTACCGATGTCCTGTCCATGCCTCAGACACATTCCCTGGTCGAGCAATGGATCACAACCTCCCGCTATTTCTCTGTCTTGGATTGGTCGCTGAGGTTACTGAGGCCTGTGATAGACGCCAGGGCGAATGCTTTTATTATACACTTGGCACAGATTACTGCTCACGGATCAATGAGCCAGGGATCGACCATTGCCTTGCTCGTTTCCGAGAGGATCGAACCTCGCTTTTGCCCAAGGCCAGGCAAAGAGGTTTGAGTGCACAATATCGATCCCAATTAAACGCTGCTGATATGCTCTCCCGTCTCCTGCTGTCTCGAGTAATCATGACATTGAGTCCGGTTCCGTCGCAGTCACCAGAGGCGGCACCACGGTGCTCTGGAGTTGGACTACTGTGTGCAACACCGCCATAGGCATCTCTGACGAGTCCGTGGGTGACGAGTCTGCTCCTGTAGATTACCGTCCTGGTAAGATCGCGGCATACATATGCGTCGTTCGCGGAGCGGAAGACACTTGTTTTCTTCAGCAGGCTCTTCAGCTCCACAGCACTTGCTTCGTTGTTAGGTGTCTTTTCATTCATGGGAGTGCCAAGCAGTGGTACAGGGATGCTACGAGAGTACCTGAGATCGTGCCTGCAGCTCATAGGAGCAACACTAGCTTATACAGTACTGCGACTCCACTGTTCGCTCCGTTCCCTCAGGTACCCCCGACCTGCACGGAATATAATGCTGTGCTCGATGGAGTAGTCATAAGGCACGATATCCAAAGTGGTGATGCCCAATATGTCTGTTTCTCTGGTGTATTTGACCTGACTTGCATTCAAAGAATGTCATATGCATGATGTATCTCTACTGTGAAATGCCACAGTTATCGAGTGTAAACCCCACTACAGCGTCCCAGCAGCAAGGATCAATCCGCGTCGATAGTCTTCGCAAGTGGAAGATCCCGGGACACTGTCGGCAAGACGTGCGCAATCGAAGTCCTCTGACTCTGATATTGCTCTCAGGCTGATGCTATGTTAAGCCACGCCTTCATTCTCATACTGGATGCCGCCTGGCCTTTGTCGTAGATATGTGACCTTGTGTAGTTCCGAAGCTTTCCGCCACGCGAACCAGATCCGCCTGGGTACCTAGCTTTGGAGGATCTTGAGCGGAACTCTGATAAGACTGAACTTAGTCCTCCAGGTACAAATACATTACAGTAGTCCACATGCAAGATAGTCAAATCTCCACTGGGACTTCTTCTATGCTTCTTTTACCAGGGTGGCATTTTCGGTCAGGATTCTGTTTAACCCCTCCCTCTGCAAACAGTTCTCAAACGCGAAACTCTTGGCTACCTTGTCCAGCTCCTTCTCGTCCATGCCTCTGAAATGCTCCGCCCATTCTTTCACCAGGTACTCCGCAACAAGGATGCACCTTGCCAGCCGGCCGACACGGTCCTCAAGCTTCCAGACCGGGAAGGGGTAGAGGTTCTGGTGCTCCGGCTTCACCTCACGCTTGAGGTGATCGATAAGCGGCTGGTACACGTTCCGTACGTGCGTGTCATCCGCGCCCCAGGCGTCAATGGCCAGCCGGTGCTTCTTCGCCAGGAAGTCCTTGAACAACTGCATGTACGGAGTCTCGCGGGAGACGTACACCATGCCCTGAAAGCCGATGTCTTTGTAAAGCCAAATCGACCAGCTCAAGCGATCCTGTTCTTGACGTCAAGCAACATGCTTCTGCCTAACATGCTCGATGACTCACCTTGTTATAGATATCGAGCTGATCCTTGAGGACCCTGTACCTCTCCTCGTTGATCGCATCCATCCGATCGCCCTCGTACTCTCTTCGGGCATATACAGGGCCCCACTCGCCGTTCCACACACAGAGACCCCGTTGGTCCATCCACTCGCGCTTCTTCTCGTAGCTGCGCCTTAACCTACGCCTCTGAGTATCATTGCTCACGTAGGGCTCTGGAGAGGCGGGGAAGCCGAAGAGGGAGTAGTCATGAATCGAGTAAGCAGTGTTTTCCCAATTCTTGCATGCATCACCAAAGTGAGAAAAATCCGACGCGAACGTGTTACCGTCGAGAAAAAGAGCATGATAAGGGTCAATGTCTCGGATGGCCTTGTAGATGCGGTTATAGAACTGAATCAGCGTGGTTTGCGTAGGGTCCGTAGGCTCGTTTAGCGGGTTATACCCAGCGATCCACGTGTTCCCAACATAATGTTTCGCCAACTCTTCCCATAGCCAGACGACGCGATCCTGGAAATCTTTGTGTTTCCAGAAGTTCGCGATGTGCGTACCATGGTCAGAGTGCCAGTCCGTGTTTTGTCCGCCAGGGACAGCGTGAAGGTCAAGAATGGTGTAGATCCCGTGCTTAGCACATGCGTCGATCACGCGGTCGAGGTGCTTGAAGCCCTCTGGCTTGAGGACTCGAGGGTTCATATCATCTACGAATAATCAAGGTGAAGCGACGATTGCAAGCTTGGAATGCGTGACTAACCCTCAAAATGTCTGTAATTGAACGCAATGCGAATGCAATTCAGGCCAAGGCTCTTGAAGAATTTCGCATCTTCATCTTGGAAGAAGTATTCAAGAAACTACACGGCGTAGTGAGCATAACATATCAACGTTTGGGCTTGTGATACTGACTCGGTCGAAGAAGAACTCTGACTTCTCTTTCCCCACTACTTCTGCTAACGCCTCCCGGATCTGGTATTCACAGCCAGGGTATCCTTCACAATGCACAGTTATGAAGGACTGCGCAGCGCCGGTGATCTACTAACCTGTGATGAAGTTCTCCATACTGCATCGTGCCGCCATATATGAGGGCGGTCCGTCCTTCTATGTTGATCAAGAACTCACTTCATCCATCCGCCCAAGCCAGCACCCCGGAGAATGATCTCCTTCCCGTTCCCGTCAACAAGCTTCGTTCCGGAGACCTTGATATACGACATTCTGGACTAGAGGACGGTGGAATATTAGACGGCAAATCCAAGGGAGTCCCTGACCTCATGTAGAGCCCTTATATAACTTAGCGGTGGTCAGGAGTATACTAGGGGAAGACAGGTTGGGCGGTCCGGTAGGGCGTCGTTTATCCGAGGTCCATCCGAGGCGACGGCGCTCCAAGATCAATTCAGGATACACCGACAACCCGCCTAATATCAGCCAATAGCGATCCGACAAGCTCCGGCAGGACCTGGTCATGCCGTCCTGCTGAGAGCGGAGTGCCTGGTATGAATGCTATAGAGAGAGAGACGCGGACCGTCGTCAGCCGACCATTGAACGAGCTAGACCAATGGAAGCCATTGCAGCAGTACAAGCCGACAAGAAATCAAACGGCAGGACATTCGCCGGTATGACCTAATATATGTTTTGTCGCAGAAAGGGTAATGCATTACCGTAGAACAAACTTGTCTCTTGCTTTTTGATTACGCCTAACATCCTCTTCCCTCAGTTTAGCTTCTAGTGCCGAGTACAACTCTCTCCCATGCTTCTCTCCTTCCTAGACATGTGAACCGAGAAAATGAAGATCAACTCAGTGAAAGACCACGCAAATATGCATAGGGTAGCGCACCTGAATCAACCTTTTGATTTGCGATAATTCAATTTCCCCGGGTCCCAGCAAACGTGTCGCTTGTAGCCTTGACGATGCAGACTTGGGAAAGGACATTGCTAGTAAGAGTCGCAATGGCGTTGATGCTTCTTCTTGAGGGGTCGCATCGAGATAATACGTTGGTGGCATCTGCTCAACTTCCGTTCAGCATCATCCATCACAGTTTCGAGATCTAGCACGCACGATGTTGAGTGTAACGCAAACGGGCCATAAATCTTGCCCAGCCAACGTCTCGCCTTCATCCCAGTAATCCGGCAGCTCGAAATCGACAGCACGCGAGATGTGCCTCGTATCGAAACCGCTCTGCTGCTCCGTCTCTGTATCCATATCTACATCCGTGTTCTCCTGAGGGTTCTTGCCCCCTCTCTTCGCCTGATACTCTACAGCTCTTGTTATGGGCACTTTCGTGTCCCATAACGCAGCTCTTGCAGCCATGAAAAGCGCATCGTATACATTACCAGAGTCGGACAGCACGATGACATCCAGGTTCAAACACCACGATTTTTTCTTCGGTAGGATACAGAGGTTGGGCGGGTGCAGGGACGGGTGCGAGAGCGTTTGGTTGAGGAGGGTCGTCATGTCGTACGACAGGTCATCCAGGGCGTTGGACGAGAGGTGCGGGTACGCGGCGGGAGAGCTATCTTGGAACCATTCAGTTTCAGTATCAGACGTATAATACATCCTTAGCTAGGGAACCGTGATTGCAAGCTGCGCTGACCATGAAACTGAGCACACGATGCGCCCACCGTCTACCCCATCGCCGTTCTCCACATCCTCGACTTCAAGCTTGACCGCGCCGAGGACTTCTGTCCCGCCTCCACCTTCGTGGGTTGGCTTGCCGATGTTCAGGCGGGCACTCCCGTTTGCGAGGGGTGCTATGCCCGTCTCTAGGGCGATGGTCCGGTAATCGAGTAGCGAACGACCGTCCCCTCGCAAGGGCGGTGTAGAGAGCAGGGACGTCTGAATATATGACTTCTCGGATTTTGACAGAGATATGGACGCCATTACGGGCGGTGCGATTGAAGAAAGCACTATCTCTGTCTTGTACACCTAATGTGGTGCCTTCCTTTATCTGCCGGATTGTTCTCGTAGGCTGCCAAAGAGTGAAAGGAAAGGAGCTGGGTCGTGGCTTGGTACAAACCACAAACGCGCAAGTCGCGACTGTGGCGGCTTTGCATAGGTGAAACGGTGGATGATTCTTTCAACTTATCTCCTTTCAGAAGAATGTGAATTATAAGGTTCAGCAATGCAAGTACTTGATACAAACGTCAACCAAGATACGCATGGCACATAAGATACAAAGTGTCAGTTCATCCCCTCATCAGATTTCCCCCGAGCAGACACCCTCAACCCAGTCCACATCGCTGCGGACAGTAGTCAAATTCTCATACCCATCCTTGGTGATCAGAACGACGTCTTCGATGCGTACGCCGCCCACGGACTCATACCGCTTCAGCACCTCGTGGTCGACATGCTTCGAGTCCCGCACATTGGCAAGCAAATGCTTGTGGAAGTAAATACCCGGTTCCACCGTCTGCAAAATTCCAAAACATCAGCGATCGTCTCATGTACCCACGTTCAACACGCACCACGACCATCCCCTCCTCCAGTGGGAGCCTCAGCCTCAAGTACGTGTAGAACGCCTCATTGCCGAGCTCCGTCCCCTTTATCGTATCATTCACCTTGGGCTTGCTCGCGCTCGGCACGTCGTGCACGTCCATGCCCAGCGAGTGGCCCACGCCGTGCGGGAAGAATGCGGCGCTCACGCCAGATGCGATGATCGCCTCTTCCGAGTTCCATGACCCCGAGTTGGGGGAGCTGGGCGACTTGAAGATGCCGAGGCGCTGGAAGCCCCGGACGAGGACGCGGTGGCAGAGAAGCTGGACCGCGTCCCAGTGAAGGCCTGGTCGGAGGATGTCAAAGGAGGCCTGGGTGTTGTGGATGTGTCAGTTAAGACGTAAAGGCGGTATTATAAAGATTGTATGCAGACCTTTTGCATTTCTAGGACGAGCGAGTAGATCTCGTGCGCTTCGGGGGTGAACTTTCCACCATTCCCAACGGGCATGGTTCGCGTGACTGGAGGCAGATCTCAGACGGGCGTCGGCGACCACCTGGAATGGTGACACTCACTATCGGCAGCATAGCAATTCCATTCACAGCCGGCATCGATGAGCAGCACCTGCGGGTTTAGCTCTTTGTCAGCGCCATTTGAAAAATGGTCCTTGTTCTGGTGGTCATGGGGTTTCACGGGTCCCCAGGCGAACTCTCGGTCGTTGCAGCAATAATGGAGAGTCGCCGCGCGCGTCGAGGCGGCAACAATAGGGAGATACGCTTGGTGACTTGCACTACATGCGATGTTTCCTGAGTTGGATTGTGGATAAGATGGAAAGAGACTGACCCTTGTCTTCTGCAAGTAGCTACGAACACTGCTTCGGCTTCTGCCTCCTTCTCGATAAGCCATTCCCCAGGCAGGAGAGGTCTCTCGACCCCAGCACCCTTCGCCTTAGCGATCTTTCCCTTCACAGCCTGACCGAGAACCCTCATGACGACTTCATGTGCCTCAGAGCTGATCTTGTTCGCTTTCCGGATCAGCGCAACCTCTTCCTCAGTCTTCGTCAGTCGCGCTCGGTGCAGCGCAGACAGGAGATATTCATCAGTTACAACGGCACGCCCCGTAGCCTCGAACGCTGTAATCGGGGGAGGGGGGAGCGGGAATAGCGGGGACGCTTTGGGTAGGACGTGGAATATGGCGTCGGGAAGCGCTGTGTGTACTTCTTCGATTTTGTCGGCGAGATCAGAAGTGTGGGATACCAGGGTTGTCTCGTACAATTGTGCTGCCTCATCCCTTGTCGGTGGCGGGACCGACCACATCAGGTCGGCTGGTTCGATAGGAGGGATGAAGAGGTCGATGGAGGGGACCTCTTCCAAGGAAGTCCCAACATGGTAGGTCAAGAGCAGGTACGACGACGGGACAGGACAACCTGACAGATAGTAAAAGTTGGATTCCTATAGGCTTGGGCTAAGTATATTCAGGCCCACAAAGGAGGAGGTTGGAAGGACCTGCCGGAACAGCATTTCCCTGTCGGTGTCATTCCTGAAGGGAGTTGATTCCCCTACTAGGACAATGACTTGAGGCTACAGTGCCACGTTAAATCCTCTACATCATGCGAAACACGGACTGTCTGAACCTTAAGTCTGTCCTGCGGCGGTAGGGACTCTACCAGCTTCTTGAACGTCTTCAGAACATGCTTACGAGCTGCAGGAGGCAAAGCTATATGAGTTGCACAGTACTTCATGAGAGATACATTCACTTCACCTGGATATACCATTGCTGAACCTATCCTGTGCTCTAGTGTTCCACGGGCCTCCAGTTGTAGGATGCAGAGCAGCGATGGGAGGGGTATCAGCATACACTTGTGATTGGCCGTCGGCTCGGAGTTCTCCGGTGGCTGCAGCGTCTGAATCCACATCCAAGTTGCCACACTTGCGCTCCTGGCGCGCGTGTCTTCTAGGTCTACCTGTTTCTGAGACTTTGCTGGCGGTTGGATATCCGGAATACACCCGCCCGTATTTCCACAGACGTCACGATTAGTTTGTAAAATTGCGGACTACAATGGCCGCAACTCTGGAGCCAGGAAGCTCGGGTAGTAACAGTCAAGCGTACGATCTAGTCGGCGGCCCCTTCGCGGTAATCGAGTCTGACCCAGGTTTGACACATCTATACTTGCCTGTCAAGCACGATAACGAGCTTCCTAGGCGTATTCTCTACCTTGATACGCCAACTCGGCGTGCGCGGATTGGAGCTGGTCGAAATCTACGACATAGAGCCATGGGCCGTCGATCACCTCAAGCCCTACGGTCTCATTTTCTGCTTCCTATGGGGTAAGGACAGTGGAGATACCAGCAAGCAGCAGTGGGATCTGGAGGACGACCCTGCGGCGAAGCGGGTCTGGTTCGCGAACCAACTCAGCGACGATGCTTGTGCTTCCCAAGCTATCCTGAACGTTCTGTTCAACCGTCCGGACGTGGAGCTTGGAGAGCAACTCAGGTCATTTCGAGACGAGACTGTTGAGATGTCCTCCGTGGTACGTGTGTAGTGTGTCATCCGCCCTCCAGCGGTCGTTTGACTCTCTCAGAACATCAGATGAAGGGGCTAGCGATATCCAATCACCACTTTATCCGCGAATCACAAAACTCCTTAGCCCGGTATGCCTGCACACTCTGCCTACTCGTATCTTCCCTCACCACCCCAAAGCCCCGCTGACCTCCGTGGCGCCCTAAACGCAGTGGCGACCACGACCATCGAGGCCTCGAAAGCCAAGCCGCCTTACAAAGGCCCCCCACCAGCAAAGCGGCGGAAAACCAACGCGAAATCTAAGGCTAAGACCGAAACCAAGACCGCCGCCGCCGACGAGGAGACCTACCACTTCATCGGGTACGTGCCCGCGTACGGGAAGGTGTGGGAGCTTGATGGCCTGAAAGCCGGCCCGCTCGAGGTTGGCGAGGTGGAGGGCGATAGCCAGGGGTGGATGGACGTGGTGCGGCCGGCGCTGAGACTGAAGATGTCGAAGTACGCGGGGGAGGATAATATCCGGTTCAATCTACTCGCGATCGTCGACAGCGTGTATGAAGCTGTGAGCGACGACTTGGAGCTGCTAAAGCGGGAGAGGAGGACGTTGGAGAGGCGGTTACAGGAGGCGCATGGGGAGGGGTGGGCGGAGAAGGTACGTTCGCGTGGGCGTGTGCTGATTGGTCGACTTGACTTTATGAATGTGGTAGGTGGATCAGAGTTTGCTGAATTCTTGTCCGCTCGAGCCTGATAAGGAGAGCTTCGCGTCTGATTTCGGCGCGAGGAAACAAGAGAAGCAGGTAGCGGTGCTGGAGCTACCAGAGCGGAGTCTTTTGGGTGCCTGGGAGACGTGCATGCGGGAGATGATAAGGGCGAAAGTGGCTGTTGAGGAGGAGTTTGCGAAGGCGAAACGAGAGAATGTTCGTATATCTCGTTTCGCATACGCGAGTTCTTCTGATAGATGGAACGATAACTCCAGACCGAACATGTCAAACGAACACATGACTACGAGCCTTTCGTCAAGGAGTTCATTACTTGCTTGCATGAAGGGGGTTTGTTGAATCCGTTGCTGGGGTTGGGCGAGGACGGTAAAAAGCTGCCCGCGCCCAAATCTAGCAAGGCGAAACGGAAGACCTGAATACTTAGGTCTGGAATGTATGCAGTTATCCCCGCAGGAAGCACTCTACTATGCAGTCGTCATTCCGGTACATTAGCGTTTGACGTCGATACCTCTTCCTCGGTGAGCTGGGTATCAAAACCACGGGGTCTTGTTCAAACTGACATTTGCGGTGAAGGTACATCTGGTATGTGCCTCTACACGTGTTTGCTACATTGCATCGCCATCAACAATCTGCCAGGTATTTTTGCAACGCAGTCTTCTCATCGGAGTCGATCGTAAGGTCATAATAATGCTTGACAGTAACCCAGGCGCGAACATATGTGCAGTGGTAGCTCTCGAGAGGCGGCATCCACTGCGCTACGTCTTTGTCGCCTTCCATATCTGTTGTTAGCTTGTACTCCTCATGGAATCATGGGATCTCTCACCTTTGGATTCGTTGAGGTTATCCGTCACTGCTAGCAGCTGAGGGCGCGTGAGGTCGTTGGCGAACGCTTCGCGTTGTGCGTCGGTCCAGTCCCGAGCTCCGGAGATCCACGCCTATTTTTCGTTAGGATACCCCGACTCTATCGGTGTTGTTCAGTCTCACCTCTTTCAATGGTACCAGATGATCCTGATGATGACAGTGCATTGGCTTAGTTGGTGCGTATATCACCGATTCTGGCAAAGGGATGCTTACGATGTCAAGATCGCTCGCAAGGGTGGTGGCCACGTTATCGTACGGCGAAACCCAGTTCCCAGACGTTGCTTTGCAAGCGCTGTCTGTCTCGACGTTCGTCCCGTCCCGCTTGAGAACCGCTGTTCACTGATTCTAGAAATATCCCAAGCTGATCATACATATACCACGTACTCTCGCGAGTGTCACACGTTCCAGAGACTGGTGTCAATGTCAGCAGAGCATCCTAGCTCGTAATGGGCTGGCAACGCACTGGTATCCCACGTCTTAAACTCGGTCCTTGCGTACGCCGGCGAGTTCGAGGGCGTCGCCACAGTCACTGTTCTTAAATGAGCTTCTAGGAATCTCATAGAGGCATGGATGTTGTCCTACGCTCAGACAAGTACGTCCGTGCTGTTGATGCTGATACCGGGGTGGGTAGGGCCCTGCGTACTGGCGCTGCGAGTGCTACCTGCAGCACAGCGAGGGAGAGGGCAATCAGTAACAGTCTCATCTCGAGGAGATGGACGGGGATAGAGATCACACCACGGCCCTGGCAGCAGCTGCGTTATCGCTTTCCTTATATGTCGAGACTGGATGCTCGTGCGTGCCAAGGGGATCAGGCGCACGTTCTTAATCGCTTGCACCATAAGGATGCATGCTCAGGTTTCTGACATGAAGGAAGGGCCGTCCACATGCAACATGGCGGCTTCAAGCTTCTCTGAAGCACTGCCGTTGACGTGAGTGCGTTTCGGTAATTGCATTGCGCGATAAGATAATGGCGTGCTAGCTTAGGGTTAGGGTTAAACGAAGCCTGGAGCAGTTGACATTTTTTGCAATGCAACTTGTAGCAGCTTGTAGCCGGAGTGGACTGCTGGGACAACTCGGACATGTCTGTTATATACAGTTTGATTACTCCTCCCATCGACGGGGAAATGAGCCTGAGCCTATGTCGGCCGGTCAAAGGTCGAGCCTGACCAAACCATGGGCATTCTGTACAACGAGTAGTAAGTAAGCGATAGTCCGCTCGGCCAGTCATTGCAGAGCTCAAGTACTGGCCATAGATCGTTCCGTGAGTGCATCCGAGTGATTGGGTATCTGCTGTCTCCTCCATTTGTCCGGAGGCTTCTGGTGAAAAATGGAAAGCAGCTTCACGGCCGATGGCGCTTGGGGTTCTCTCCTCAAGCATGTATTACCAGAATGAAAAGTATTGATCAAGTCCCTCGCCACACAACAAGAATTGTAAGTAATGACAGCGCTTGAAACGAACGCACGCGACGAGCCTCCATGGCTATCGCAAAGTGGACCAGAGACGCGTTATGGCCTGCATCGCGTCAGCCATCCGAACCATCCATGTCGACTTACCGGTCGCCTCGTCATCCGCAAACAAGTCAGCCACCCTTTCAGCCATCGAGACAGCCGCCCAATGATGTATAAAGGGGCTCGCGAGATTCGGGAGCAGCAGCTCTACGCTCTCTCCCTCTCACTTCCACCTCCGCTCTCAGCCGCACTTGAACTTCCATTCATACCTCCGAGATGTTCAAGTACACGTCCGCTGCAGTTGCTATTGCTCTCGTCAGTGGTATCACCTCCGTCGGAGGTGCACCTCACCACGCGACACGTGACCTGACCCCGGTCCCCGGTTCGTACTCGTCTCCCTCTCGCCCTCATCGAATAGAGACACTGACAGTGGGGCGAGGACAGACGTCACCGTCCTACAGTTCGCGCTGACCCTCGAGCATCTGGAGAGCGCGTTTTACCACGGGGCGCTGGAGAAGTTCGACGCGAATGCGTTCGCGAGCGCGGGATTCCCGACCTGGGTTCGCGAGCGGTACGAGCAGATCGCAGGCCATGAGGCGTCGCATGTCGCGTTCCTGACGAAGGCCATTGGGGACAACGCGACCAAGCCGTGCACATACAGCTTGTGAGCTCATTCGCTGCCTTATTGAGTCCCCAGCTATGGAGTGTGGCTGAGCACGATTGAACAGCCCGTACACGGACCCCAAGAGCTTTGCGGCTTTGAGTTTGTCAATTGAGGGGGTCGGAACTGCTGCGTACACCGGAGCAGCGCATTTGCTGTCCAATCCGGATGACCTCAATGCTGCCGGTGTATGACCAATCTTTCTCTGGTCCGATACGCCCAGTTGGCTGACCGAAGGTCCATAGTCCATTCTAGCTACAGAGGCTCGCCAGACCAGTTGGATCCATGCCGCAGTGAACAAGGGCGAGCCGTGGTCGGGCGCGTACCAGACGCCGCTCACGCCTTCCGGCGCGTACTCTTTGGCTTGTAAGTCTCACATAATCGATAATCTCGTGGCATTAATTGCTTATCGTACCATGAAGCTCCGTTTATCAAGTCGTGCCCCGAGAGCAACCCTCCTCTGCCTGTAAAGGCATTCCCTGGCCTGACCATTAGTCCCTCGATGCCCAAGGCAGGATCTACGATCAAAGTCGCCGTCGACAAGTTCGACACCGTTGGCATGTTCATGGCATACTACAGCGGCCTATCCGTCCTATCCTCGGAGATTCAGAACGGCGAGACGGTGATTCCAGAGGGGTTGCAGGGAGTAGTATTCGCGGGCGTTGTGTCTGAGAAATCGACACAGGACAAGACGCCTACCGATGAGACTATGAAGAGCGGGTTGGTGGCTATTGATTTCGGGCTGCCTGCTGATGCGAAGGATACGTCGCCGATGTAACTAGTCCGCGAACTTGTTTTTCTTTGCTTTAAATAGGGTCTATAGGGTGCAATACAACGGGATTCTGCCGTGTCATGAAAGCAAGAGATATTTCATCGGGCATTCAGCATTGCCTGTGCATATGGAATGGACATGACCATTACACTCCGAGTCTGGCACGAACTCTCGTTATTAGCAATGTCCATTGCGAGCTTGCTCCCTTTGGAAGTTGGATGTATCCAGATGCTCCTGTAGTTCTGGAGTGGATCCTAGTTTCGTGATGCTCCCGCAGATGTGGCTGGTGGTGGCGAACTCTACTCTCGGATGTGGCGCGGAAGTTGTGTACTGTATAAGGTAACCTAGTTAGCGACGGATCAGTGACTTCTGGCAGCACCGATGTATCACTGGGTACATCACCCATATTGAGCATGCAGAAAACTGTGAAATTAACGGGTCAAAGGTCAAACTTTTTTCATGATTGTCCATTGCACAATTGGTGAACCGAACTAGAATAATACTACTTTTGAATGTGCAAAAATCTGATTGTGGCACAGGATATGTTCTTTGTTCAGCACTATTCATTGAGCTTTCATATGTTTTTCAAGGCAACACTATGAACAAAATTTGACCTTTGTCCGGTTTCTTTCACACTTTCTCAGTGGCTCAATATGGGAATTGCACCCAGTGTATCGGAGGACGATCGTATGCCAAGCCAAGACCGCGTTTACATACGACGCTGTCTTTCTTTCAAGGTCATCTATTCGATGTTCCTGGACAAGCAGCGCACTGCCTGAATATTGAATGCCAGTCTGGGTTTGTCAAGTACAGCGCAAGTTCCAATACGCTCGTCAATCCTCCAATGGTTTGCACGCCGAAGGAGCGTTCTCCTCACCTCGCCAACTTGGCCGGTAACCAGGCACCTAACAGACTGCCGGTAGTCTTCGAATGTGCCGTGTATAAAGTGCATGAGTTGCCCTCGGGGGCCTTTATTCTCTCCCTTCAGCATAACTGACAGGTTCAGCCCTCGGTTTCGTGCCCTTCGTTCTTCTCGTCTTTCTTGTCGCCCTTGACTCCCTTTGCCTAACCCGTCTGTGACGGCTGCAAGTGCCATTCATTCACTCTCGATCTCCTAACCAGCTGTCCACATCACCTTCCCCTCTTCGACAAGCATAATGCGAGTGGCATCTTTCCTTACCGCTGTCGCCTTCGCCGCCGGAGCGTTGGCTGGCCCGATCTATTCCCGCACCACTCAAGTCACTGATGTCAAGTGCACTGACCCAAACACGTACGTCCGAACCCCACTTATATCAGTGATCTGCGTTCCACGACTAACATTCCCTACAGGACATTGGACTCTCACACATCCAACGTAGCCCTCCTTCAAATTTGCGGCGGCATTGCCGGGTCTATCCAGAAGTGCCAAGGCAACCCAACCACGACCACCGGTGAGAGCGGCAATGTCCGCTTCAGCATCACACCCGTGGTTCAGGGTGCCACCATCAACGTCTCGAAGGGTCGGTGGGAGCAGGGCATTAAGGCAGCTTTCGCAGTCTGTGGGCAAAATAAGCCTTTCGAGGCTACCTTTGACAAGGGTGCGAGCACGGGGGATATAAGGGTGACGTACGGGCCGAAGTAGGGTTGGAATGGGATAGAACGCTTTCTGGCGGTTCGCTTGTTGAGGCAGTAGATACATTACTAGTACTGCCACAGGTGCAATACGGGAAATCAAGGGTTGGATACCGTGTGACGCTGTAGCCTGCTCATGCCATCGACCGTGAACGATCACAACACTATGATCGTTCAGCTGGGACTACGGCCAGTGACCACACTGCTTACATTGATATCCTTCTGAAGTTCTGATTCCACTGGCTCAGTGGCTGGCGCCACAATGCCCAGGACACGGAAGAAGCCGGTGATATTAATACATTTGCGGGACATTTGCGGGACTGGAGGTGCATATGTTTTCTGTCAGCGTACTTTCTGACGTTTCTGATAATGGAGTAGCGTGTTCTGTCAGGTTGTGAACTGCCTCGAACTCGGCCCTCATCCGGTTCACCCCCAGTATGGACACTGGTACTCGCGCTGCGGTTTCTCCTTCCATAGGGCGCAGGCAATACCAGTTTAAACTTCTGCATGTGCTTCCGCGCAGTGAACCAGTATTCCACAGCTATCACTGATTCTGATCCTGATTATGTTTTGATTGATTCATGCATCTACACTCGCAGGCTGCTGAATTCCATGATGCAAGATGGACCAATCGTGACGGGCGATATCCTCAAGCCCGGTCAGAGTACAGACTGACCGTGGTGGTATCAGGCAGCCATGGTTATCAGGCAGCCATGGTCAACATTAGCAAGCCGTCTATCCATCTATCAGTGATCACAGGCGGCAGCGCAGGTTTGGTTGATCGGCTCCCCTGCTGTCTCCTAATTCTCGGCTGTTATATGTTCCCGCTTCTGCTGACAGACTGTTCCTGTTATGACGTTTTCCTAACGTCCCAATATTTAGCTGCACTTGCATCAATAGGGTGCACCATACTTTTATCGAAGGAACTTCACAGATCATGTCTGATGCACTGGCTGCCCGTGATGCCGCGCGACAAAGGCTCAGTGCATATTTCCTCGGGCCAAAAGCAGAGAACCTTGACTACATGCTCAAGTTCTTACATGCCATGATAGAAGATATGCGACGAAGCCGCATGCGCTTTGGCCCCTCTGACAAGGTGAGCTATTCAACGGTACACGAGCCCCTGAGGCTTTAGGACCCAACCCATGCTACTTGCCCGTCATTTCCAGGTTTCCATAGATTCCAGCACGCGTGCCTCTGAGCCCTTCGAGAACGCAATGGTGGAATTTGAGGCATTGTTCCGTCGAATATCCGTTTTTATCTCGGAGCATAGTGTTCCTATATACTCGCCCAGATATATGGCACATATGGTGTCAGAAAATTCTTGTACGGCTCGCTCGTCTTCTGTCTGACATTCTAGACTGCTGACAGCTTTGTCGGTATACAGTGCCAGGAACGCTCGGATACATGCTTGGCCTGCTTTACAACCAAAACAACGTGGGTCTTCCTCAGTCTCCCGCTGTACGTAGACATATGCTGAGAATGATCAGGTTGCGCTAGAGGTGTCGCCAGTCACAACCTTGCTTGAGTGGGAAGTATGTCGCGTTCTCCTAGACTGCGCCGCCGAGCTCCAGCTAAACTGATTTCACTAGGTAGGGCAGCAATTGTGCGCTCTTATGGGATTTAGGCGTCATCCACGGAGAGCCGAAGATGACAGCTCGCCGGACAATGCTAATGAGCCTTATGGTTGGGGTATGTGCTTTATACATTCCCCTCCGATATTCATGTCTGCGTTCTTACTGTGAAGGTTAGGGCACATTACATGCGACGGTTCGGTGGCGAACCTAGAGTCCATCTGGTACGTGGGCTGATACTCTACTATGATTGTCAGCTGAGTATCTGGCGTGTACTATCTCTAGGGTTGGTCGGTATTCTCGCGTTTATGTTGTGGGCGTGTACGCTGCTTACCCTGGCTCATAGCTCGGAACCTCAAATTCTACCCGCTTTCCTTGCGAAACGCCATGACTAAACCGAGGATAAAGGCGCATGATGATCAAGAAGTGGAGATGCCTCCACCACTTGCCTTTGCCTACGGTACCTTTCAGGTCTGCACGTGCACAGGCCAGACCAAATTATTCAAAGACTGCACCATATGGGAGCTTTTGAACCTCACTCCTGACACGGTGTTGGGTCTGCCAATCCAGCTCAGTTGTCAATTCGGCGTGTCTTCTGCGTTTGTAGAGGAAGCAATGCAGGACTACGACGTGCAGTCCGTCGGGAAAGACGAGCTCGTGCACCAGCACGGCTTAAGTCAACCAGTTTATTTTATCTCCAAGGCTCGCCATTATTCTTGGCCAAAGGGTGCAGGTGCGTCGAGTTCGCACTCTAGTAAGCAGTTTTATACAAGGAAGTCCTTCTTCTCTCATTGTCAGCCGTGACTGGTATCGGATCCAGTAACCTCATCGGCGTTAAAGTAGATCTAGCCATCCGCCTTGACGTTGCGGACCTGCGGCGTAGACTGGACGACTGCCTCACTGGACAGATACCGGTGTATTGCGTAGTTGCTATAATCGGCACTACCGAGCACGGCGCAGTGGACCCTCTATCCGAGATAGTCCAACTGAGACAGGAGTTTCAGCGGAAGGGCTTATCATTCTTGATCCATGCCGATGCTGCTTGGGGAGGCTATTTTGCGACATTGAAGAGGCCTGCAGCCCAGGGGGTGGGCCTTTCACACAGACATCTACCCATTCCGCTCCATAATCATACGAACCAGCAGCTATGCGCACTGAAGTTCGCTGACTCTATCACAGTCGACCCGTAAGTGGTCCTACTTTGCTCGCGGAATGATTGTCTGACTTCATCAGGCATAAAGCGGGATATGTACCGTATCCTGCCGGTGGCCTATGCTACCGGGACGAGCGACTTAAATTCCTCGTAAGTTGGACCAGTCCCTACCTTGACGGTCAACAGAACGCCGTGGACCGCATGGGTACGTATGGCATAGAAGGAAGGTCAGTGCTTGGCCCCATTCTTATCCTCGAGTTCGATTAATCCGTAGGTTAATAACCAGCAAACCCGGGGCTGCCGCGGTTGCCGCTTTCCTCAGTCACGAAGTTCTTGGTCTTAACGCTAAGGATAGTGGGTACCAGACTCTGCTCAGCGAGGCCCTTTACACATCTGCGAAGGTGTGTTCTACGGCTTTCCAACACGCTCTATTCATACAGTGTCGATAGCTGCACTGCCACTGGGCGACCATAGACACTGGGGTCGATGGGATCATAACGACGTCTCTGCAGATGTTGCCTGCGGAGAAAGACGGGAGTGACGTCGAAGCTCAAAAGGACTTCATTCGGTTGAAGATTCTCGGTCGAGCCGACTCCGATATCCTTCAGGATAAAGAAGCTCATGAATTTCTCAGCCACGTTGGCTCCGACCTCATGATTAACACTTTCGCTTGCAACTTCCGCGTCGGAAATGTTCTAAACGAGGATCTGGAGGAGGCTAATTACCTGAATAGACGTATCTTCGAAGAGATGTCTATAATGAAGGTAACGGACGAGCCATCTGACAAGGAAGCCATTATCATGGCCACAAGTCTTCCTCAAGATACATATGGCGACTGCGCCTCAGTCTGGAAAAGAAGGATGGGTTTGAAGGGAAACGAAGACCTCTATGCCTTGGGAAACATCTGCATGTCCCCGTTCTCCAACGCGAGCAACATAGTGACTGAAGCTGTTCGCTACTTCAACGAGGTCGCCCTAAGAGTATCTGCTGTAAGTGCACTGTTGTAATTCATGGCCGCGGTGCTTACTTCGCTTGCTGCAGGACTGCCGATGGAGAAGCATGGTCACTCCTGACGTTCACTCCTTCCTTCTCCAAGGCATTGATCCCATTTATCTGTCGTATTTGCCCACTCTTCAGGCCGCAAACGGTCGAAATCAGATTATCCTACAAGTGCACATGCCTTCCGCGGCGACCAATCGATACCTTGAGGCGAGAAGCCAGCCATCAGCACAATTCTTCACTATAACAACAGCCGAATCGTTGACGCTGGACAGCATCGCATGCGATGGTGCATCGTTCCAAGCTGTCATGCATGCCGGCCATCCAGAACCAGACCATAAACAGGCCTGTGGGTGTCGCAGTTTCACTGTCTCTGTCCTACGCGTCGTGCGATGTTTCTCTATAGCGAAGAAATGTCCCGCTCAGGATTACCCCCTTGGCATCCCATTCTTTCTGTACGGGTGCCACGCAGCAGCTCATCTCGAGCATATCCTGACCCACGCACCGGATGCCCACATTTGTGCTAGCGAAGTCCAGTTACACTTTGGCGACAGGCAATCGGTCGTCGAGGAGGGGCTTGAAGCAGGTTGGGTTGCTGTTATGGAACATCTCCCGGAGCCCGTGATACGACAACCTGGTTGCACTTGGCCACCAGCCTTATTCTACCCTGATACACAGCCTAGAAAATTCAAAATCGCCGTGCACGAGGACAACACCAGGAATTATTGCTCGCCTCTTCAGGCCTCTTGTGCACTAGGAGATAAGATCGCGGAAGGCAGCATTACTTTGGGTCGTCGTGTTTATGTCGACAATCATTTCCTAAACGTGGACCCTATCGATGCAACAACTTCAACTTGTCGGTCTATTTTCCGGAGATTCACACCTCGAGCAAGTCGCGAGCAAGCGAGGTATACCGCTGGAACATTGTTTAATACATTCTTCCACCCTATCGAAAAAGGATCACAGCGAGGCTCAAAATTAGAAGATGAAAGGAAAGGGAGCAACACCTCTTGTATCTTCTGCTAGCCAACTACTCGGCAATATCGACGATCATCTCGATTCCGAGTTGTGAATGGCTAATTCATGTAATCTAGTACTACTTCCTCGACGAGCTTCTTGATCTCCCAGTCATTGGATAACACAAGCAGAGGTAGGCACTGTTCCATCAATCTCCCATCAATCGAGTTGCATAAACGATGTATAAGATTGATGTTGGCTAAGCTGGCCATTCTGGATCAACAGCGTGCCACCTCTCCAGCATCTCTATTGCCAGATCCCAGTCGGCTTGAATCGGCCTCTTCCACATCCATTATTGTAATTCATCTGCTTTCTGTCACATCCGCTTTAAGACGTCCATTCTCGGCTGAGACTGGCCGTCTTCCCTCTTCTGCATCATATCCTGCTCCGTAGAACCAGGTACGTTGAAGTCAAACGTCAAACAGATGTCCGGTATTTCCAGATCCTTCGAGAACAATGTTCACCACTGGTCGTCGGATACTGTCATAGATGGTGAGAGCGCGTGGAATCGTCGTCTTTGTGCATAGCGGATGGGTGAGCTGGGACGAGAGGATGTAAGAGTCCTACATATTGAGAAAACAGGTCAGCAACGCCGCTGGTAAATATGCTAAAACACGCACCTCGATAGCTTGCGCGGCGCCTGACGCCTGATGCGGCGACATTGCATGTGCCCATTCAAGATAATATAGTGGGTAGCTACTGGAGATAACTGTGGCGCCGCACCCCATAGCCAAGCAACAACCCTATTAGATATGAACGAGGGAGGCGATCTGAGGTGCTGGATTACCCGCCGCGTAGGGTCTTATATGCACTGTATACGCCTCACTAAGCTCCAAGTATAACGGAGCACCAATGATAGGAAGGCTTACTGGCGATCGGTCCTTGATTTCTTTATCCAGTGCGACATTGTCAAGGACTTCTTCCTTCGGGGCCGAAGTCACCGTAGGCCCACCCAACACGGCACCTTCTAGATCCAGCCTGCTGAATACCAGTGCAGTATTGATCTGAACGAAGTCTCGCACTAGCCTGGTAAGTCTGACTTGTGCATGTGAGATGTTCGGGGCCCTGTCAACGGCCCTTGAGTAAAAAAAAGGGTAGGACTGACGGGGAGGATACCGGCCTTCCGCACTTGTCGCGGCCGCGAGACTCTCACCAAGCCCATTCCATGACCGATATTCCACACCTGGGGATACATCCCGATACCTGCGCCGATTCCCATGAATCGGTGGGCAGCTTCATATATGTTGACCTCAATGTCAGAGGCTTTAGATAGAGCGGCGGCGCAGACTAGGCCTCCGATGCCTCCGCCCCTGTCGTTAATATCAGTACTGTAGGCTCCCAAGGCCTGAATATGCACGGCTTACACGATCGCAACTATCAACTTGGGCTGGGTCATAGATGTATCACCAGCAGAGACTGCAGTACGCCAACACCGGGCGAACAACTTGGGATTAAATACTGCCGTCTCTAACCTATACAACAAGGTCTCGGCCGGTTCTGAAATAAAGAAATGTTAGGTGGGAGTTCTCCAGCGTGGCGAAGGAGGTATGCCGTACCTTGAACGACAATCTATAAATGGTGATTGACGGATCGAGATGCAGCACCAAGCACAACCTTGGGATGTTCCTGTCGGGAGGGACAGGGACTAGTACCCGTAGTCAGATTACACCTGGGCCAACGGCAAATTCGCCACGGTCGCAAGACTATACTAGCTATCAAGCTTGGGCGCGGCGTGGCACGCTTTTCCGATGGCACCCGTCGTAAACACGGTGGTCCACGATTGTACCTTGTACTTATTAGCTTTGTCTCCGGTGTCTGAGCAACGCACGGATGGGAAGGTCCACGGACGAATGAGCCGGAAACAACTCCGAGACTTTCTTCTATGCACCCGTGGTGGCGACAAGAGAACTGATATACGCGTTTTACTCGCACATGATACCAATAAATTAGCTACATCTACATGCATCGGCTTCATACACAGGATACCGATACCTAAGACAGCATCAGACAGAGCACCACTATTACATGGATGTCATGAGTGAGACTACTACACACACCTAAGCCCCCTCCTCCATCCCAGGTCCATGACACCAGACATTCCCCCATCTATCCTGGCTGACACCAGTAGCTCCGCCACCCTGCTGTCCCGCCACGCCACTGTCGATAAAACCGACCCCATAACTCACGTTCGCATTGAACTGCGGAAGCGGACACTTGAAGCCGAGGAAGTACGGGCACGCGCGGTCCACGGCGGTGCACGTCTCCAGGCATGGTAAGAGCATGTCGTAGCCCGTCGTCGCATTCGGCATGGCAGGGTTGCTACGTGGCGGCAAGTTCGACGCCACGGGCACCAACGCCGACAATGGCTTCTGCGCACCCGTTTCCTGCGATGCGACCGAGGTGGTGGATGACGACGACGGCGGCGATTCTTCGGAGCAGCGCGGGAAGGAGATGGCGCAGAGCCAGTTGCGGTATTCGCGTTGGCAGTCTGCGCACGTCTGGATGGGCGAGTAGATGTCCCGTCCGCAGGCGATCGTGGTGAGCATCGTGGAGAAGTTGCCCAGCCCAGAGATGAGCGGGCTGCTGACCGAGTCTGGGACGGTGCGAGCGTCGTGGGCGTCGAAGCCGACCGGCGGCGGTAGGAGGGGCGCGGCGTAGGAGACGGCGGGGCAGTAGGGGAGGGAATGGACTATCGGGCAGGAGAACAGTGCTGGAAGAGTAATTGGTCAGCATGGATGGTCATCAGCAGATTCCCGAAGATGCTGCGAACCTGATTTCGTGGTAAAGTAAATGGGACCCGAGACTTTCGTCTGGTTGGTGACGACGTATGCAGTGTAGTTTGTGAGGGGCGTGAGCCCGCCCATCAGCCACTGCGACCGCCAGCCCTTCTCGTCGCGCAGCCAAAGGCTCTGGAAGATCTGTGAGCCAGCCTGGGACGGAGAGGATGTGAGTGAGCAGCCGGTTTGCAATTGACTGGCTAGCGAGGAGGATGTTGGGGCGAGGACGAGAGTGAAATTGGTCGCGGCGGCTGTGGAGGGTTGCTCGGGATAAGTGAGGTTGGCTGGCGGGAGGGTGTAGTTCGGATAACTGGGCGATACAATTGGGGGAGGAGAGAAAGGCGGGGAGAAGATGAGGGCTTGGTTCGATGTTGTCTCTCCTAGTAGAGGAATGGTAGGCAGGATCTCATGCATGGGACCTACGGCATGGAGAATATTCAGAATGACATCTTTGTATCTCATGCACTTTAATACGGAATGCGGCAGATTGACCACGAAAGAGAAGAGCTACTTGGAAATGTGTGTGAATCCGAACGAAGTGCACTTAGCACTGCGCATGGTAGACACGCATGGCCAGGTAACTATCCAAGTAGACGTAGAAATTCTTTCGCAGTTTACACATACGTAGGCCAGGGAATACTAACCTGCTTCCCCGTCGGATACACCCACTTCAAACGGTGCTTGCCCCGCGTTCAGGACTGCCAGTACACCTCCCTCCGGCGTACTCCCACTCCAGTTGCCGTAGCCATCGCTGAGCTCTATTTCATAGACATCAGTCCCCCCGCTGGGTCCCGGTAAGGTTATGTCGGTATTGTTCGTGACGAGGAACCGCGGTGAATTTGATGAACTCGAACATAGCGCAATGGATACAGAGAGGTTGGATGACGCAGGTAGCCTGAATCCTTGGTTATTGGTAACATTGGCATCGGTGATCGTGGTCAGCGAGCCTATCGCAAGGCCCGGAGTCGTCTGCGCGTAGGAGAGATATGCTTGCAGCAGACAAAATAAAGTCAAAGGGAGCATTTAGCGAGAGATGCGCGCCTCAGGGACCGTCTGTGGTCACCATACAGGATTTCCCACGCGGCGACGTTAGTAAAAAGAGCTCCGCTTCGCTGCGGAGCTTTTCCTTCTCGATCCAAAACTGGATCTGTGACTCGGAAAGTGAATGCTAAGTAGCTATAGGCTGCGTCTGTATCGATATCTCCCTCTTTCCCCTCGTTTGCCCAGACGGCCTACAGCATTCACTGTCCGAGCGATGTCGCAGACCCCGAACGATCCCGTGCTGCAGTCAGGGGCGTCGACGCCCGCGCCGCAGGGAAATGAGCCCAAGACTAAGAGTGCAGGTTAGAATCAGGATACTATGTCGCGTGTGTACCGATCCCGATAATATATTTCTTCAGCCAAGAAAGAGGCGAAGAGGCTAGAGAAAGAGGCGAAACTAGCTGCTAAGACCGCCAAGGTTGCAGCTGCAACCCCGGCCGGCGAAAAGAAAGCAAAGGCTGAGAAGGAGAAGAAGGAGGAAGAGCCTGCTTTCGTGAACACGACGCCAAAGGGAGAGAAGAAGGGTAGGTGGTCTGCCTGCTCGGTGATAACACCCATAAGTGACGTCTGTGTAGATCTTTCCCAGCCCATGGGCAGCGGCTACAATCCTATCGCCGTCGAAGCAGCCTGGTATGACTGGTGGGATGCCCAAGGCTTTTTCTCCCCGCAGCTCACCCCCGATGGCAAAGTCAAGCCCGAAGGCCGCTTCGTCATGTCCTTCCCGCCCCCAAATGTCACCGGCAGCCTGCACATCGGGCACGGCCTGACCATCGCCATCCAGGACACCCTGGTCCGGTGGAACCGCATGTTGGGCAAGACGACCCTGTGGGTGCCCGGCTTCGACCACGCGGGCATCTCGACTCAGTCCGTGGTGGAGAAGCGCCTGTTCAAGTCCTCGGGCCAGACGCGCCACGACCTCGGGCGCGAGAAGTTCATCGAGACGGTGTACGACTGGAAGAATGAGTAAGTGGCCATATTGTGCGTGGATATGACATGCGCGAATAAGACAACAGCTACCAGGCACGGATCACCAACCAGATGCGCCGGCTGGGAGGGAGCTTCGACTGGTCGAGGGCTGCCTTCACTATGGATGAGGTCAGTCCAGTGTCCTCTATTACATAGGATCCGCTCATTCCTCCCCTGAGTATAGCCTCGCTATAAGGCCGTGATCGAGAACTTCTGCCGGCTGCACGAAGATGGCATTCTCTATCGCGCTAACCGACTCGTCAACTGGTGTGTGCGGTTACATACGACCTTGTCCAACCTCGAGGTAACATATCTCTTCTTTGCTATATGTTCATCTTCAAGATCGTGACCGTAATCCCTGTCCAGGTCGAGCAAAAGCAGCTCACCGGCCGGACATTGCTTAATGTGCCCGGCTATGATCCCAAGGAGAAGTTCGAATTCGGAGCGATTACGAGTTTTGCGTATCCAATCGAAAACTCCGGTAAGACACATCCGATCCTTTTATTCATAGTACTTGATAGTAAATGCACGAGCACAGACGAAAAGATAATTGTCGCCACGACGCGTCCGGAGACAATGCTAGGTGACAGTGCCATTGCCGTACATCCCGATGACCCTCGGTATAAGGTACCCCATTTCATCGTTGTGCTGCATAACCAGAGGAACCGGAACTGAAATGATATCGGTGTGTGTGTATAGCATCTCCACGGCAAGTTCGCGGTGCATCCCTTCCTGGACCGACGCATCCCCATTGTCACGGACTCGATTGTGGTAGACATGTCCTTCGGAACTGGTGCGGTCAAGATCACACCTGCGCACGATCCGAACGATTACGAGGTCGGAAAGCGACATAACTTGCCTTTCATCAATATCTTGAATGACGATGGGACGTTTAATGCGAATGCTGGGCCGAAGTTCCAGGTAAGCTGAAAGCGAAGTTTGTCATATACACTGTCGAGTCTACGATGTTGATCCTTCACTCAAAGGGCATGAAACGGTTCCATGCTAGGGTGGCTGTTGTGGAGGCCTTGAAGGAGAAAGGACTCTTTGTTGATGTGAAAGACAACCCCATGAGCATACCTATTTGCACGTAAGTTACCCTCGTACCTGCACGAGCTTTACGACTAATCTTGAATTTCCAGTAAATCAGGCGACATCATCGAACCTGTCCTGAAGCCACAGTGGTGGGTGAACTGCAAACCATTGGCTGAAGAGGCTCTGAATGTGCGTGTAGCCGCGTCATCATCACTGGACGTCTCATGCTTATGGCGCTCATAATCATAGCACACGCGAGCTGGAGAGTTGTCTATTAAGCCGGCACTGTCCGAATCGGAATGGTACCGCTGGCTGGAGAATATTCAAGACTGGTGTATCTCCAGGCAGCTCTGGTGGGGCCACCGGTGTCCAGCGTACTTCGTGCGAATTGAGGGCATCGAACAGGACGTGAGTGTTCTGTGCAGTTGCTGCTAGACTTGGCTCAGCGGTCGTCTTGCAGAGTAACGATGGGAAGTGGTGGGTGTCTGGCCGGACGCTAGATCAAGCTACAGAGCGTGCCAAGAAGCTTGCAGATGGGAAGCCATTCACGCTGGAGCAGGACGAGGATGTGCTGGATACCTGGTTCTCGTCTGGTCTCTGGCCGTTCTCCACCTTGGGCTGGCCCGATAACGTATGTCATCTACACGATTTGCTCTTCCATGCGTCGTCCTGAACAGACTCCCTCTTAGACGGAGGACTACCGCAATTTCTATCCCACATCCCTGCTCGAGACGGGCTGGGACATCCTGTTCTTCTGGGTTGCCCGGATGGTTCTCTTGGGCTTGCACCTTACTGGGAAGATGCCCTTCGACGAGGTATTCTGTCATGCTATGATACGTGACGCGCATGGGCGGAAGATGAGCAAGTCCCTGGGTAATGTCATCGACCCGATCGACGTTATCCAGGGACTGCCCCTGGAGGACCTGCACCAGAAGCTATACGAGGGAAACCTTGATGAGAAGGAGATTCAGAAGGCTAAGTTGGGTCAGAAGAAGGACTTCCCGAAGGGGATTCCGCAGTGCGGTACGGATGCCCTTCGGTTTGCGCTGTGCGCGTACAGTGGAGGAGGTGAGATCGGCTGTTGTCACGTGTTTTATGTGTATTGGTTCATTCTCGATGCAGGTCGGGACATCAACTTGGAGATTCTGCGGGTAGAAGGATACCGCAAGTTCTGCAATAAAATCTTCAACGCTACGAAATTCGCGATGCTCAAGCTTGATGAAGAGTTCATCCCTTTGCCACAAGCTAAGGTACATACGGGACATACTACACACACCTCATGATACTGACCGCCTACCGTAGCCGACTGGGAAGGAAAGCCTTGTTGAGAAATGGATCTTCCATAAGCTGAACTTCGCCGCGGCGGAGCTCAACCGGTACCTGACGGAACGCAACTTCATGATGGCGACGACGGCTGCGTATAACTTCTGGTTGTACGAGCTATGTGATGTCTACATTGTGGGTACCTTCTATGGATGATGTTTACATAGGCTGACTGCCGTCCAGGAAGCCATGAAACCCATGACGGACGAATCGGCCTCCGCGGAGACACGAAAGTCAGCTCAGCAGACGTTGTACACTTGCTTAGATTATGGCCTGCGGCTGCTGCATCCGTTCATGCCGTTTGTCACGGAGGAGTTATGGCAAAGACTGCCGCGTCGACCGAATGACCCTACGCCATCTATCATGATCTCATCTTATCCCACTCATGTAAGGCGAAGTCTAATACTAATGCGAGAGTACTTTTGTTCTAACACGTCCATTAGGACTCCGACTTCGTCTTCGATGCCGCAGACAGACAATTCGACCTGATTTTTGATGCGATTAAAGCCGGTAGATCCCTGGCAGCGTCATATAGCTTGCAAAATGATATCCAAAGTGAGCTAAGATGTACACATTGTTCTGGCGAGCCGAGGCTCATTAGTTTGCAGTCTTCGTACATTGCCAGGCAGACGAAGAAGCGGCGCTATTCGAGTCGCAGAAGGCTACTATGCAGACCTTAACGAAGGGCTGCCAGTCCGTGAAGGTAGTACGATCTGTAGACGAGATCACGCCGGGTTGCGGGTCTGCCGTTCTTAGTCCAACCATTGCGTTGCACATTCTCGTCAGAGTAAGTCAATCCTCATCGAGCAATGTGACTCGATGATCTTATGTTCCGTTATCAGGGTCTTGTAGATCTCGACGCAGAAATTGCCAAGTGCGAAAAGAAGATACATCTGGCCAACCTGAACCTGGAGAAGGTCAAGAAAGCGGAATCGGTGGCAGACTACGAGGCTACTGTGCCAGCTAACGTTCGTCTCGCCAACGAGGAAAAGGTGCGCTATCTTTCACTCACGAATAGTCCAACGCTGACTGGACAAAATATACAGCGGAAAACTTACGTTGCAGAAATCGCCGCGTTGGAGATATCGAAGGATATGTTCCAGAAGCTGAAATGAGTAGTCAAATGCATCTCGGATCAGCTGTATAGAGGAAGTACTAATAGATGTATCCATATCATTTACACGCGGAGACCGACCACACGTTATTTAATCTCGAATCGAAACGCAACGCTGTATTATTATCATCTGTCGTGATAGAAACATCCTCGTAGGTAAAACAGCGTTCCATGGTTCTCCCTCCCACCGCGCTCTTCAAACGCAAGCATATCCACGTCACCTTCTGGCTCTTGCCTCCACCGCCATACAGTTAGGCATTTCCAGGCATTCCCGTTAGGCCTCCGGCTCCTTTCGATTCTACCGTCCACGTCAAGAATCCCATTTTCCAGCATATTCGGGCTGGTTACCGTCATGCTCTTGGTTGGCCCATCTGGGTCGGCTGGATTCGCCGCCAATAGCTCCGGGGGTAGTGATTTCGTGGTACCAGGTTCGATTAGAACGGTGATAGCGTAGGATCGAGAGTGAACAGATTGGATCTAGGTGCAAGGTCATACACTGGCTAGTCGAGCGGTCTGACGGGTACTGACGATGACATCCTTCTCAATAACAAGGTTGAGTTGTGAGAATACACGCTTGTATGCCAGCACGTCGCCCTTCCTGATCACGGAATTCTTAGCGAGGTCGACGAGCTTCAGTTCGGCGGCATCGCTGTTCACGATGTCAGCACAGCCGGTAGAACAGCACGTCAAAGACTTACCCAGCGCGAGCTATGGCATCCGGTTGGCGCGACGATGGCTCTGTTTGTTGATCTGCCTCTTCAGGCGCAGAGCGATGGTCTCGCTCCCATACCTCGTCTTTCCAAGGCGCGTGCAGCGTGCCATCCCTCACGCCACTCTCGTATTTCTGCACTTTCTCCTTGTGTGCATCTGCCAGCCACCCGGTGTACAGATGGTCCTGGAAAGTACGAGCAGCTGCCAAGAAGTGACCGTCGGTGAAAAAGGAAGTATCTAACTTTTCGAGTGATGTAGCAGCAGCAGTCCTCATTTCGACATCTTCGTGAATATTAGATACGGTGCCCTGTGTGCATGAAGGGTGACTCGGGTGGACAGTGGGCACAAAGTCCGTGAAGGCGGTAGGGGGCAGGAGAGTGCATAATCGTGCCCGTGCCTCCTCAGGGAGCATGTTCCAAGTACTTGCATTCAGAATGGTCTAGTACGCCGCGTACGCTCACCACGAAATACGGAGGTCGTACTTCAGAGAATCACGTACGGATATGTCCACATTGGTGAGAGTGCTCTTGGAGCTTGCAAGGAGCGTTTGCAATTGCTGTGCTGGATCTACGGCTCGTGCTGTCCGCGCTTCAGGCTGGGACGCGCGAACCGCAACAGCACTAGACTCTCCAAAGCGAGCGGGAGCACGAGCAGACCGTCTTGGTCGCGCAGGACTATCTTCTGCCATTTGATGTAGAAGAGCCTGCCAGAGGGGACTGCTCAGCGCCCGGAATGCCCGTTAGGACCGCAACGCGCATGCCAACAACGGGGAACTTGCCTGGAGTGATTGTCGCAAGTGCTACCCTTTTAATCTACTCGCCTCTCTTCTGCCTTAAGCCGCCTCTGAATGATCTGCAATATCCCACCCACTGGGACAGATGCGCAGATCCAAATTGGCAGTGTCACTATACAAGCTTGATTCTCGGCCAATAGAACAGGGGAAAAGGTAGTCAATTATACCGACGAAAACATAATTTACACGGGTCTATTATATGTAACTGACACACCGCGGCCTCTGCAATGAATTCCTTTGAAGTAAACGTTCATCGTCGCATACAGCAGCCAGTGCAGTTCAGCCATCAAGTCGAATTTTGCGTGAGTTCATCGCCCGACCGGAACAAACCGAGCTGCTTGTGGCAGTTTGTGGCCGATTGGATTTGTGGCACAAACATTGCAGTAAAACGTTCGAGATCTAACGGTGCCTGACAGACGTATCTGCAAATTGCGTATAGGATGAGAGATTGAAAGCCCAGAGGCTACTGATACGGGAGAATTATATCGTCTTCAATACCTTTACACCACGTATGTATATACTAGTACTGTATTGATCTTCCGCCCCGGATTCACGGGTATAACTTAATGTTGTACAAGAACCATTCCAAGACTACGATAGCGAATAAACACATGCTAACACGAACGTTCATGTAAGGGGAAGATAGAATAGCGATAGGCACAGATGACGGGGGGAGTACAGCTCGTAATCAACTGGAAGGAGCTGGAGCAGCCTCCGGAGCGGGAAGAGCACTTGGCACTGCGGCAGGCGGCCCGGAATGACTCGGAGGACCAACATTATTGCCTGAGCTAGGAGTGTTTGCGCCAGAACGCGGAGGGCCGACATAAGGCTGCTTCCATTGTAAGGACATCTGCCGCTGACTTGCGTAGGGCGCAGGAGGAGGAATCGGAGCTCCGGCAGGTGCAGGCGGATGGGCCACGTAGCCACGATCATATGCCTGATAGGGAATGGAACCGTAAGGCTGAGCTCCATAACCATGAGCATACCCCGAGTAAGGATATGCAGGATACCCCTGAGGGGCGTAGTAACTTGATTGTTGCGGCATCCGGCCATAGGGATAGTTCCAGTAGTTATATGCTGGTTGCTGCGACGGATAGGAATGGAAACTATGCTGAGTGGGGTGAGGTGCTGTGGCCGTAGCTTGTTGCTGAGGTGGCTGCGAGGGAGCCGAGACTGCCGAAGAGGCAGCGGCCTTCGTCGAGAAGGACAGTACATGTGTCGATGACGAAGCGGTGGGTTCTGGATGTCGATGATCGTCAGCTAGGGAACGTCCTTTTGCAAGACCACAACTTACTCTCCGGTTCAGGAGCAGCTTCAGTCGGCTTTTGACCGACAGTCAGTCCGTCTGTGTTTCCGAACACAACGCTGCCCCACTTGAACTCTCTCTTGAGCCCCCTATCCCACAGGACCTCGACGGATTTTGACTCCTCTATAACTCGAACCAAGGACACTTCGAAGACTCCTGCACTGACACGAATCTTAATGCGGGACATGTTGGGCAACGCAAGAAGGTCCTTCCGGATCTTGTCCATCTTAGCGGCTTTCTTTGCCTCTGCAATATCCTAAACACAAGTTGTTCAGACTACTTGACCAAGTAAATACCAATTAAAGTAACATACGGGATTGTGTTGCGGGCATAAACATTGAACCTCGGTTTTCTTAATGATCTTCAGGACGCGAGGTGCAGCTTCACTTGGAGGCACGGGAGCTACAGCACCGCACGGCTGGGGCATTGCACTGCTGTCGACTTGCATTGCATCAGGTCGCTGAATGAGGTGGGATGCCTTGTCGGCGAGAGGATAAGATGGGACGTGCGAAGGCACAGCGGGATGCTGAAGCGGTTGGGCGTTAATCGAGGGGTCAATGAGGACCACTTCCTTCTCGACCTCTCTCAGCAAGGTATATACGATACCAGCTTCGGACCCATCTCGAGCACAAGAAACATGGAATGCCTTCGGGCATCTGCCCTTTGTGCACTGGATAGGTGCCCCATGAGCCTTGTAACGCGCTTTGGAACAAGCCGAGCATTTCTATAGGAGGGGGTGAGAGCTGGTAACAGAAGCATTTTGAACTACGGCACCAACCAGATTCCATCTATCCTTCACTATTCCATCTACCCCGAAGACTACCCTCTGTTTGTCCTTCGTACCATCCAGTCTGTCTACCTCCACTTCATCCACCCAAGTTTCCGGTATGACGCTCGCACAAGACTCATGGGCCATCCATGGTTGACCGGCTTGACCACCTTCAACCGACCGTCCAGCCGGCGGGTCTTGCACGCGTAAAAGCCCTTCTGCGCTAGTAGAGACGCATAGGCAACAAGGGAAAACGGTAGGCTCTTTGGGCTTTGGTCCAAGCTTGAGGACGACCGTGACTTTCGACGAGGAGGCGTTGCCACTGCCCTGAGCCTTGGAAGGGCCACCCTGAGCTGTACTCTTGGATGATCGAGGCTTCTTGAGCTTGCGAGCGTCATGGCCACCGTCTGATTTTCGTTTGCGAGGGTTCTTAGACTGGTCTTTCCGTTTCGTCTTGGCAGTCTCGGCAGCTTCAGCTGCTCTATCCATCAGCAGTTGATCGACGTCGATGCGGACACTACATCGTGGCAAATCAGCATAAGATGAAAGGGCCAAACCGGCACTACAAACCTATCGTTTATGCATTCGCATACTTTGGCTTTCCGGCCGAGCTCTAACCAGCTGTCAAGTGCGAAGTTAACACTCTCGGCGCAGTTGAAACCCAAGTTGAATCCGGCGTGGTATCCACGAGGGTAGGTGATGACGAATTCTCCCGCATGCTGAACAAGAGTATTCGGACGACACGAAGACTGAGATAAGAGAGTAGGGGAGGCTAGGAATGATTTATGTCGAAGGAATTGGGGACATTGAGATGTATCTTTAGGGAAGTAGCCTGTAAGAAGAGCGTCATGTGACAGTGTAGAGTCTAAGATAAGAACGGTACGTACCTCGCATGGTGTTCTCCAGGGAGACAGCTCGGGCTTGAGGGATAGCGTACCAGAATTTGGGTGCTCCAAAGTGAATATAGTTAATACTGAACAGGTCCATGTCTTCTACGTGCCACGCAAAAGTTGCGCGCCACATGCCAAAATATAAGTACGGGGTATTTACACCCAATAAGCCCTTGGAAGACGGCGGAAGGAGGCGAGTCAGAAGAGAAGGGAGTTTGGCCACGTTCCATGACTTCGTCTCATCCGTGAAGAGTGAACCTTATGAGAGGTACATTGCGTTCATCCATGACTGAGCTTATACATTGGACGCCAGAATAACTTACCAGCCATATCTGCACCATACCATGCCGGCTTCCCAAGGCCACAGTTGCGCCAGTAGTGACGCTCGAGCTTCTGGCAAAATTCAGGAGTGAAGTCGAAAGGTGTTGTGTTCGTAGGAAGCCAGTCAGAATTGGGATCAAAAGTTTCAAAGAACGCCACGTCTTGAGCAGCCCGTTCTGCAAGATTAGCCTCCTTCTGCGCACGGGTCTGGCCTGTGCGTCTCTTGGCCTTGGGTTTCTCTTCAAGGCCATCTTCTGCTGCACCTTCCGCGTCCTCCTTCCCCTCGGGCTCAGGCTCCGGGTTATCTTGCTCCTCAACGCCAACAGCATCCGCAGCAGGGGGAGATGCTGCATCTCCATCGCTGTTAGGTGGCGAGGCGAGGGACTTAGCAGGTGAGTCGATCCCATTAACAGCTTGATCAGGTTCTTCCTTAATCGACACCTCCTCCGCTTCAGCTTCCGGCTCGGCAGTCTCCGCTTTTGCCGATGCCGCCTTTCTTCCCCTACCGCGTCTCGTCGTGCGCTTGGACGACGCGTTCTGGCCGTGGTAGAGTCCAACATCGTCGACTCCAGGCGCGCGATAGTCGTCCTTGTTGCAAAGCTCCGCCCACTCTCTGACACTCATGACGCGTCGCTTCTCCACATTCTGCTGTCGGAAGAGCCCTCCGCGACCAAGCATAACCTGCTCAATTGGGTTCTTCAGCTTCACTTGAGATAATTGCTCTGTGATGGGTGGTAATGCATCCCGCCTGCAATGTGCGTTGAGCTCAGATCAGACTGGGGGTCCACGGGCATAAGGGGCAGGATCCGCACCATTCCTTAGGAGGTATAACCTTAACAATCCCACTTCTCCTGCCCCAGCACTCTATTTTGTTCATGTATGCTTCAAAGTCCTCAAAGTCCTCCATGGTCGGCTTAAATACTGGTATTCCGCGGCTTGCATACTCATCATCGTCGGGCTCAAGCCATGTTCTGCCATTGGAGTCGGGTGACGGAGGTAGATGCACGTCATCAGAGCCGTAAAAATGGTCTGGCTGCACAGGTGGAGGAGCAGGGGTAGGAGACCGGGACGGCGACGGTGTAAGGGATGGCGTTCCAGAATGAGAGGACATGTTTGCAAGTGTGGCCGATCAACGTCGTCGGCGTCGTGCGCAAGCGATTTCTCCCTTGACGATGAGCTAAATGCGGTCAATACCGGTATGGCTGATACGCTCAACGCGCTCCAATGTCGAGTGGTACGTGGTCGTCGTCGTCGTAGACAGTGTTCCGGTGTGAAGCTCCCAAGCCGAGGTCTGTCCAGAGTCAAGTCCAGATTACTAAGACTTACTAAATTTAGTAAATTGGAGCGGATGCTCGCGTGATGCATTTCTCAGAAGGCTGCCGTGACCCGGCTGGTCCGTCGATTCGATAAGGCGGTAGGGCCGTGCGAGCACGGCAGAGCCCGCTACCGTAGATATAGATGATATTTGGTAGCAAGCTGAACACTGTACATCCTGAGCAGTGTCATATATATCTATTTTGCGAAAGCAGCTGTGTTCCAGCAATTATTTCTGACATTCAACTCAATGGCCTGGGGTCCTGAGAGATGTCCACTCATCCCTCCCTCAGGTTTTGAGAATACAAGTTACATATGCAAAACAACTGACATCGGAGTATTCTGATTTCACCTTGAGACCGCATGGTCCAAAGGCCCCAAGCAAGGTCAGTTCTGTCTCTGAGTCCCTTGACAATCATCCGCCACCTTGGCTATAAAGGGGAAGAGAAATGGCATGACTATCGGGGTCCTTTAAGGACCCCACCTTTGATTGGTCCAAAGCCCTGTCCCGCTCTTGCCGTTCACCATATATGGTGAAGTGCCAAATAGTATCAAATAAATCGCGTAGATCTTGAAACTATCGCAGGAAACCTGCAAACGGCCCGGGGGTCCAAGACCCACTACCTACGGTAGCGGGAATCTCCGCCCCTATACATGGTCTGCCACAGCGACTGACAAGAGACTAATCCCGAGTTTATCTGCCTGTGGCAAGCACATTTACTGCACGTCGTTTTGCTCGGATACCATTCGACATTTCTCTTGCATTCATCTAAGTTATTCTTAGATAGACGGAGCGTAGTAATAATATGACATGTAGGCAGGTTCCCCGCATACTTCAGGGGGAGCTTATTTATCTGAGGTCAAGTTGATAATTTTTTCCAAAGGGATTGAGCAGTCTGTCCAGATATTTCTGTCACAGTGGTATTATTCCTAATATATATATTGTGCTATGATATGCTCATGTGTCACAAGCCATGAAATTTGGGGAGAAGGTTAGGAGCCTACACAGGGTCAGCTCATGCAGGGGAGAAGAGTTTTAGGCCATGCAGGGGGACTGTTCAGATTTGTATGCACATCCTTGGGTGTGCCCTGGAATTATCCATTATGGTAATTTATAGTTATCTGAGTCTCAGTATATTCCACTTGCTTGAGATTGCTTACCTCTATTTGAGCTCTTTAAATTTCCCATCAACTGTAGACAGAAGAGCTGTATGAGCCTATGAGGTGACACATCAGGGAGAGTCTGGTATTTTCTCTTTTCTGTCATCATATCTCACACTACATGTTTTTCCAATATTGCATATTTGATTCTCATTATAGTCTATTCAGCTGCATGTATCCTAACTCACCCACATACAGTAGCTGAATCTTATTATTCAATGTGACCATCTCAAAGGGGTCTTTCAACCCACCCCCACAAAGGTCACATGATCCTGGGTTCCGACTGCTGCCTTTGTTGCAGGACCGTATCTAGACATGTAAGGCCAAATCAGATACTAGAATAATTTGATTTCTACGGGCGCTCTCAGCTGGGTGAGCAGGCTATTAGGATGACTTTTTCTGTAAGCTCAAAAATCAACATATTTATTCGTGGGTGCTCAACATGGCCAATTATGGCCTTTAATATGCCTTTAGGTGAACTCCCTGATATGAGCACGACCTGACGTGGTTGCCAACACTATTTGGGCTTCTTTCTGATGTGATTTTCCACGTGACTTTTGATTGGATTCTGACATGGTTTTCCATAGATTTTTCTGTCTATTTTGGATGGAATTTTCGTTTTATTAGATTTGTGTATAGGTGATATGAGGGGGGACATGCTGTCCCCCCTCAACCCCCCCTTCCGGAGCATCAATAGTGTTTGTTTCAGGCGTCAAAGAATTTGTTTTGTTTTTCTAGGTCTTCCTACGGACTACCCTATATCGTCTTACTCCTCCTTCCCCCTCGAACTATTAAAATACCCCTCAGTTGTCTCGGACCGCCTCTGCCCATACTGCTGGTGTTAGGTTTATTTCTTTTGGTCCTTGGTGATTGTTGTGTGTCCGTGCATATCAACGCTCCGGAGTATTTATCTCCGAAAAGTCGCAATCAAAATCGCAAGCAATGAAGCCTGTCATAGGATCATGCCCGCAGCGGTTGAAATTGCTAGAGAGACTTGCTTAATTTTACTTCGCTATGTAGGACTCACCGGAGGTAATTAAATCGATGGCGGAGATAAATCACTCGACGAGTCAGGCCTATTGGCAAAGCTAGGATCGGTTATAATTCGCTAAGTTTGACACTTTTGAACTTCGTGGGTCGCTGAGATTGTAACACTAATTCTCTGAGATGGTGAAGTGCAGAACTTGTTTTTCTGTATGATACTTTGTGCAATTTATACTACAGGAATGGCTTTGCGACCGTCCGGAGATAAATAACAAATAAACGCTGCTACCCACAGGATTGCTCAGCACTTGCCGCCGTTATACCATACACCATACGACTCCCTTGCGCTCCCACTTGCTCGTCCCAGCCCCTAGAGGTCGCCTCGACACTCCGCCACCTGCCCTAAGCAGTCCCATCACTCCATGCGACACACCGGTCACGTGCTAATTACCTCCGGCCGCTCGCTGACTGATGCTGACGTCATGGTGACTCGTATACGTCCGCACCTTTGGTATTTTGATGGAAACGAGGGGGAGTGAGTGTTGGAGGTTGGGCATGAGGACGACACCCCTCGATAGAAGCATCCGCGGGCCCCGGAGCTAATTCATCTAGACGTCGCATTGGTTAAGTCGCTCCGGAGCTCCTGTTTGTGGAGATAAATCGCGGAATGGGTCCGTGTACGCCTCGAGGATGCTACAAAGTCCGGAGCTAAAATAGAGCAAGTCTTTAGAGCCCATAGAAGCCTAGAGGCATGTGAGCGCTGTGTCAAATAAGCTCCGGAGGGCTTGTATGATGCACTGAGTCCGCATTTTCGGGGGTCAGACAATCCTGAGGCTTATCACCGCGTAGAACTATCTCTCTCTTGG